AGAGCTGAGCATCAAGCAGAAGTTTTGCTGGATAAATAAGGTCGTTTCCCTTGTTCATTCGCTCACATTATACACGATAGAAGGCGAGACTTCCACCACGAGCTTGCCACGCGTATACTGCGCGTATATCCATCCACCAATTGTATACTTCCATTTTCTCCTGATAAATTCAGTCGACTGGTAAAATGCGCTGCTTCCTTTTATTTGTGATTTGCAGAATTCTTGAAGAAAAAAAGTCGATTCAAGTAGGTTTATTTTTTTGACAATTGTTCAGCTTTCAATACATGAAGAAATTAAACGTTTTCCATTAATTAAACATTCGAAATGGAAAATTATAATCAGGAAAAGGTTTGCTTTGATTGAACGATTACTGGATAAACAGCTGATGTACAGAAGTAGGCCCTATATTAATCATTGTAAATTATTGTAAATTAAAAATAAATTGTAAATTAGAAATCGAATTCTGGAAAAAAATGACAGCGCAACCATCCTGTACACAACTCGGATATCAGTTATTGCCTCTGTTGCCACTCAAGTGCACAATTCCATGTGGATCGAATCCTCACATCTTTTTTTAGCTTCAGCCAAAATGGGCAGTATTGTCCTTTATCCTGAGACCTTTGATTTATCTCGTAATTGGATGACCATTTACATCACGCTTAGTATACGAGTGTAACAGCTACGTAGGTTATAATCTCGTCTGCAGATTACTGATTGTATACTTACGGCTGATGTACAGACTAGGCCCATTATGAGTCATTGTAAATTATTGTATATGTACGTATTTTTCTGTATGTATATCATATAACATTTACGTCGTTGAGAATTTTTTACTTTTACAGTTGTTTCCATTGGTTACAGGAATTCAGTCAGGTTTCAAATGTATTGTATCAAATATTGCATCAGTTGATATCAATAACTTGTACATAATGGCTTCTTGAAGTTGAGGGCTTTGACTGGCTTTGACAATTAAAATTAACATGTCACATCAACCTAAAGCAGGAAATACTCTGAACTGTCTCGGATTTTAATGATTGACAAGTTCAAAAACTCCTACTCAAGAAGTAAAATTAAGAAACAACACCAAAAGTTTGTTTTACAACTCGTAGATGTTATGCCATGTGAACATAACGCCAGCTCAAAATCTTAAAACTCTGCTAGTTTTGATAATAACGAAAAAGCAAATTGATTCTTGGAAGGAAAGTTTAATTAAGCAAATACCAACCAAAACTGTTGAATGTATCACAACTGTTTCGTCATTGCAAAGTAAATTACGTGTTAATGACATTATCAGACCAGGAAGTTGTATGCAGGAAGGATAACTTGTTCACATCCTTTCAAGGAATCGACGAGTCTAGTTTGAGTAAATTTGTTGTGGGGAAGAGCATCACTTCATTGCTCACTTTCTGAATATGCAAAGTAACAATTTGTTAAACCCCGCCCACTTTGCCTGTGGGTTTGTTTTTATCTGTGTAATCTATGCGTTGGTTGCTTGCTTAAGCGTCCGGCATGGATCCGGTTCAATACAGTAGATTGTTTTATACAACCTGAGTTGTAACTTTCTGTATTCTAACCAGCATTATGGGTAAGTTGTTAAATAACTAAAGGGGTGTATTACATGTTGGACTTGGGTCGAGATTTTGATTCAAACTTTCATAATGGATCATTGTGGATTTAGTCTTTGTACTGACTTGAAAGTCAAGATATGCACTGGCTTGCATAAAAATATTTGGAACAAAGACTGCTATAATATATACCTTGAATAATGTTTCTTAAAGGAGTTTGTTTACCTACAAAAAAAATCAAAGGGAAATTGTGATACTTTGAACATGTAACCACAACTTCAAGTTTGCATTCAGCACCAGGTGTACGCTGGATTATTTTGAAATTATTAAAAGGTAACTTGAGTAGCATTTGAAACTACATGTATAGAAAAGTTTAATGTAAAACAATCATGTAAAGCGCTGAAGAATAAAAAAATAAATCATTCCTTCTTAATCTCTTACATTTTGAACATTTTCTTGTTATTAACTGCTGCCACAAAGATTGCAGTGACGTACTTCGTAGGTCCTAATTATTTTCTGGTTTGTTGCTCAAATGTGCATGATATCCATGGTAAGAGGTTTTTCAATTCTTAAAATTTAGTTGCACTAGAACCTGCCATGGCAGAACAAAGCACTCTCTTCCAAGATGGTGACTGCTATTAATAAACATTACAATGAACTGTGAACAGCTAGAAGCCATCACTGGGGGCAGCTTCGACTTTTAACTTATAATGAATTTCAATAAATTGCATTGGTTTTTCGAAATTGGTAGTCGACGACTGCGTAAGATTTGCTGTAACTGATTTGTTGGAGTGACGTCATACACAAGCCACGCCCACTTGTCAGGGGTGCTTAAGAGATGCTCTTTACATTTTGCGCGTTAATCACCCTGCGACATTCATGGTTGTCTTCTAACGGATGTAACTTTGCTGATTAGACTGTAAAAGCACACCGTGTGTTAGCGTGAGGTTGATTCGCGTAATCAATCTAAGCAACGGCATTTCAACCGAAAGGTGAACTTTCTCTGTCTGAATTGACGACTCAAATCAAGAAAACGAAGGCTACATGCACCACCCATGGCCTGCTGACTGTTTTGGTGTTACTTGGTAAGTAAATACTTTCCTGTTGGACAAAACGCAGGTCATCTTCACAAGCAAAAGTAAAACTGAGTGTTTCCTATAATATGACGAAGTTTTCAGCATTGCCGAACGTTGCGTCACTCATACCACGTTTGTGGTGGCGCCCTACCAGTGTGACAAATGAGGGTTGAACAAAAAAGTTGTCTTAAGGGGGATTGTTGCTCAGACCTGAGCTACTGACAAACGGGAGGAACAGGGATTGACGGTTTATTCGGCAAACAGCGCCCTCATTGTACGTGTTACAATGGTGGCCAACTCAAATGTCTCTAAAGTCACGAAATTCTCTGTCATTTAAAAAAAAATCTACACCAAAGTAGTGTGGCGTAACAGAGGTAGGCATGGATACCCAAGTCATTAACCATTACATGTACTGCATGCGCTGACCAATCAGCTGTGGGTGTAACACCATAGACCGATTGCTGTGTTACATGCATTGAATTTGGGGAGTCGGGTTGGCTCATCTAAATGACAACCCTTGTGAGAGATGCAATCGAACGCTCCTGTCTAGATAAAAACAAGCACGGATAGGTAACATTTCTTGTTTAATCATTTATTACAGACATTAAACAACCGTGTTTACAATTCGTGACTCGACTACTGCACAATGTCTGTTTGTATTACAATTTGTTCTTTAAGGAACTTACAAGAAAAGTGTACTTTACGTGTGAAGAATTGTGGGGAAAATAATGAGACTGGTTGCATTCAGACATGAATGTCATGGAACCTTTTGACAAGAGAAAATCCCACATTCAAACCTGTGTCAGAGATTGCTCTTATGCGACGGTAATTTTCCAAACCCAAACAGTTGATCATCAAACATTTTTCGCCACTTCACTGTTATTTGGTTACCAACCTATGATAATCAGATTCAATTTTTATACAAGCTGGGCAACAGGGGGCGCCAAACAAATACTGGGTACCAGCTACGCTGTGTCAAGGTCGACAGTGCTTAGCAGTGGATTGCTCTACTTGCAAGTGCAGCCTCTCTATCGACCAAATCCCTCAAGGAACTACCATACTGGAAGTCAAGCAGGCCACGCTCCAAAACAAAGACTTGCAAATGGTACCCTTTCAGCCAAACACCAATTCTACCATGAACAGCAATACTTGGATGAAAGTGAGGCTGGACTGGCAGACGAACTCTCTTGCCGGTGGAACCTCTCTTTCAAGCCAACCACGGCAGAGGCCCCACACATGCTCATCTCGTGTTCCATCCTTGTCAAATACTCTGCCCCTACTTGGTTGTAATCTGTTCCACCAACTGGTGGAAAATGAGGCCAATCATTTACTTTTGTCTCTTTCAATTCTAATCTGCCAGGAGAACGACGAATGTTTACAGAGATGAGCCCAACATTTTGGACACAACATGGCTTTTAGTTTAAAAAGGGCAGGCTTCATGTGTACATTTTCAATGGGAGTCGCTGTCTTCCGATTCCAAGTTGTGCCCTATTAAAACTAATACATGTTGTCCAACTTCTGGACAGAATTCTTTCCATGTGCCACAATCTGAACAGAGCGGGAGAAATATGGTACAAAACTTTGGCCTTGAAACCGGCGAGGATTAGCACAGCGCAGTTAGCCCTACCGCAGCGCAGGCTTGACGCAGGTTTGCCCCCTAAAAATGTTGCTGGATGATTACTGCTCAAAGTCGGGATTCTTTTTCAAGATGATGAACCCTTCGATGATTGGTGTCAACGACAGATCTGCGCAGAGAAGTTAAGGATGGTTACAAGCTTGACTTGATGGTTGGTTGCTGGTTGGTCTTGACACATGGGTGGTGGTGATGGCAGTGTTAGGTTATGGCGGTGAAAATAATAGTGATGATGGTGGTGAGTCAGCACATCTTCTAGTTCAGTCTCAAGTCAGAAAAGTTTGATCAACCCATGATTGATAATTTTCCCGGATGTCAGTGATCTGATCAAAAATTGATAGCCTTGTGGCTGACTCAAGATTGACTTGTAATCAACTTGTGACAGACTTGTGTTCATCTTATTACAGACTTGTGATCAACTTATGACAGACTTGTGTTCAACTTATGACAGACTTGTGATCAACTTATGACAGACTTGTGATCAACTTATGACAGACTTGTGATCAACTTATGACAGACTTGTGATCAACTTATGACAGACTTGTGATCAACTTGTGACACACTTGTGATCAACTTGCGATTGTCTTGTGACTGACTTCAGAGTGACTTGTGATAAACCTGTGATGAAGAATGTCGCAGGGTTCAAAAAGTTCCTAGTAAAAATGTTTTTGAGATTAAATGACAATTTTCTTCTTAAAAGAATTTCTATAAAGCTGAACAAAGAAATGGACTTGAGTCAATTTCTTTGTTCATCTTTATAATTATTCATAAGCACCTTGTCAGTTTCCCAATATGATTTGTTAAAAGAATTTCGGCTCAAAAGGATACATTCTTCGGTGGCTAGCTCCGCCCTCTCTCCATACGCAAGCAGCACTGGCGTCGTGTGAGTCTGGAACCCCGTGATCGTCTTAGGTTTACCTGCCTGCCCCACGACATCAACAGCCTACCCAAAAAAAAATTAAAGGTTTAAAACACTACAAATTTACGATTTCATATATTTTGTTATTTGAGGGTCAAAGGCAGATTTACCCAAGCCGCCAAAATTAATTACAAGCCGAATGAGTCACGTACAAACTAAACGCTACGTGAAGGATTCTTGAGAAATGTGGATCAATGGAAACTCCTTTTCCACTCATATAATTTCCACTTTCACCAAGATGCCATACATCAAACAAAAAACTCAGTCTACTATTAATGGAAACTCAAAAAAAAAAATCCACTGAAAACCTGACCTCAAAGACTGAATTTTTGGATCCAGTCAAATTTTGTCTGCTATTCTCAAAAACAAAATAACCCTATCACAAGAATATTACACATTCTTTCCTTCAAATCTGCATAACCAGAACTAAACTGAATTTGGTAGCCGGAAGAGAAACAGAATTTCATTCTTACCTGGCCCACTCTGACCTGGACGGGCAGAGGTCGCAGTTCCTCGTCAAAGGTCACCAGCATTCTGGGTCGCATGGCCGACACCAGACCGTACATCAGGTAGTGGGAACTCTTCAGAATGGCTAGCAGGAGACAAGGAAAGCAAACCAACAAAAGTAGATTTTCATAGCCGATGAGGAAAACAGCAAGGGGTGTTTAAAAAGACAGCCTCCATACAAGTTCCTCTCCAAGACAAGGCGATTTCAAGCAACGGCTACGGCTGAAGTTAGATAGTTTGACAGACGCCGCCCGAGCAATGCATGGATTGGACCATCTGAATGACCATTTGGAAGCAAGTCGTGAGAACTCAACAGAACAGCTAGCATGTGTCAATATATAAAAAGGCCCAAAAGTTTATTTTCACAGCCGATGAGAAAACAGCGGGAGGTGTTCAAAAAGATTCTTGCTACAAGTTCATCTCCTATGACAACAAGGCATTTCAAGTGATGGCTAAACTTATAGCTGGAAAGTCTGACCAACTTTCCCTGAGCAATGGATGGTTTGCACCATCTGGCTGACCACTTGGAGACAGGCTCTCGGGAGTGATTGCAAAGCTGATTTCATTTACAATTTAGAAAGGAACCACTGCCATCAAAATAATTGTCCGGGATGTCACTGACCACGAACAATACGAGAGCTGAAACCGAAGAGCACATTTTGACAAGGAGATTACACAAAATAGCTGGAATCAGGTTGGTTGAGTGTGACTGTGTTGAGCATTACAAAGTTGCCCAGAAATGAGAACCGTTTTTCTCTGAAACGCATGGCTCAAAAAAAAAAGAAGCACATGCTGTCTGCTATCTTGAACTCCCCTCTGTGACCGAGTCAATCCACTCGACCAGTTCCAAGGACTCACTTTTCTTGACGTCCAGGAAGCCGACGATTGTGGCCAGCAGGCCCGCCGTAGCCACTTGGCTGAGGAGCTGCCGGTCGCTGTGGTAGGGACTGAGAGTCAGCGTGCCTTTGCCGAGGTGGGTCAGTCCCTGGGCTATGCGCACCATGAACAGGTTGGAGGGGTCTTTGTAGTGGTACTGGGCCAGTTGGCGCAGCATTGAGGCCAGTCGGGCATTGTTGGTACCTGAAAAGCGGGCATACATTGTTTAAACGTATTGAGTCCGTTAACAAAAGTTATCCTGACTATTTATAAAGCACACATATTTGCCATTACTGATGCTCAAGGTATTACATCAATTTTACCCCTGCTTGTCCAGCAAATAACCATTCCTAAATACCATCTCAGCTCCCTGGGGGCACAGTTCAATGCCGCCAATCCGGGCAGCAACGACTCATCACACACAACCCTCCATCATCTGCTCTTACAGATATAGATTCACACTTCCAGGGTGAAGACAGGCCAGTGGTTGTAAAGTGGCTTGCCCAAGGACACAATGTTAAACCACCGGCTGGATTCGAACCCCGACTCTATGTTCAGGACTCACAAATCCTAAACACTTGTCCACATGTCCCTGGTGGTTCTGTTACTTAAGGCAGTATTACTATTACCCCCGTTCATCAGGCCATGAGACCAATCTTGGTAGAAAGCAGCATGTAGGGAATCATGACCAAATCGGTCCACCTCTAAGAAAAATCAAACTTTGTAGCCACAAATAAATAGAGTTGTTTCAGGCAAGAACCGATCCAAATGAGCACGAACTGAAAAGTTGGAAGTTGAGGTTTATTGCTCTTCTTACCGGCGCCAACGATCCCCATGGCAAAGATTGCATTGTGGGCCACCTCCGCGTCAGTGTCGTGGGAAAACTTGCTGAGAGTGTCCAGAATCTGTAGCTGGGGGTTGGACACGGAAATGAGGGCCAAAGCTAAGGGAACAGCCCGACGGATGACTGGCTCACCGTAACGGAGCTGAAACGGGAAATATAAATATCTATGATAAGATTCAGAGAGTATGAATATTCATTTGTGAACTACTCAGTTTGAGTAGAACGTGAAAGTTGCAAGCTGGACAGAGATGGGGGCAGATCTAATGGAAAAATGCCTGACAAATGACTGGCTCAATGTAACATTGCTGGAACAATGGATATGAATATTCACATTCACAGAACAATAGACATGAATATTCACATTCACAGAACAATAGATATGAATATTCACATTCATAGAACAATAGATATGAATATTCACATTCATAGAACAATAGATATGAATATTCACATTCATAGTTAAATTAAAAGAATGTATGAATAATGAGCAAAAGATGAGCAAACTTCAACGCTTGTCTATAATGCAAAGCTGTAAGACCAGATGCATCGGAACAGCAAAACAAATGCCTGGCTCACTCTAACCTATTACCAAAAGAGATGAATATTCATTGATAGTAAGTACGAATATTCATCATTGATTGAATTAACACACTTCACATTATCTTAAGAGAAGCTGAATATTCAAACTTGGGCTGACAGCAGATATGAATAGTCAAGATTAAAATGATTAACATTTATAATTATTTTAGTCTTGAGCCCAACTCACCAGATGGCCGAATGACCTCAGTGCCATCTCCGATCCAATTTCCTCGCCCATGGCGATCAGAGCGATCCCCAAGGCAGCGACTCCTTGATGGGCGGCCAGGTCAGCCACCGAATCCTCCGAGCCTTTGTCCTTGTCCTTCTTGTCTGAGGACTTCTCGTCCTTTTTGTCCGGCTCTGCCTTGGCCTCGATGTGCTCGCTGCAGATGTGCAGGAGGTTCTGAACTTTGAGAACGTTCCCCGTACCTTGATTTAAAAAAAAAAGAGCGCACCAAAAACAATTAGACAAAATCCGAGAAAAATCCTTGAAAACAAAGGTCAAGTTTGCCACATCACTGACTACAGAGGGTTTGCGTGGCTGCCCTCTTGTAGGCCAGTGCTTTTGCTCCACAGGGTACACACAAAGGTGTGATTTCCCTGTGGAACAAAAGAAATGCCCTGCAATATGTCCTCCGTGAAACTGTCGCAGAAAAGTCGCTGCAGGTTTCAACATCCAATGGTCCAAACCGAGTACTAATAAGCCATTTGCGAGTTAAATTTGAATAAAATCTGGTGCACTGAATTATCTGACTGCACATAAACATAACAATTTGAATTCCCCAGACTAAAGACACTGTTGCTATACATGTACCTTGTGATTTGGGGCAAGCTGTTGCTTAGCGACCACCATCTCTGGAATGGACTGGTTCCTTTGTGTCCTTCTTAACCATTGAGAACAGTGTATTGTTGCAAGGTATCTCTTATGTAACTAAGCAAAAGCTTGCCTTGAATCACGAGGTCTAGCAACAGTGGCTTTAGTATGGAGAATTCAAATTGTTATGTTCATGTGAATTTAAAGAACTCAGTGTACCAGATTTAGGTCAAAGTTAACTCGCAAAAGGCTTATTGCAGATATTTCTTACCAGCGTAGGCACAGATGTCAACCAGGATTTTGGCAAAGAGTTTGAAGGGCTCCGGCAGGACATCTAACGTCGCTAGTGTGGCCTCCACTGCTTCTTGCTTGCCTGATGAATAAAAAATTGAGAGCCGCAGCTTCAGACCATGGGGAAGATGGCCAAACTGATAATAGATGTGATTTCTGTTTCACGGGAGAAACTATTTACAGAATGATTAGGTGAGAACAAGAACTTTTTCATTCAATACTGACCTAGGTATGTTAGGCCCAGTCCTAGGGCTAGGTAGCGAGCAAAGGTGTCCTTGAGTTCCAGGGGGGTCTTTTCCATCATGGTCTGAATGATGGTGGAGCTGACGTCACCGTTGCAGGACCCGACGGCCAGCATGCCTGCGGCGAGGGCCGTGATGCCCACCACCTTGGAAGAATGGTCAAGGGGAAATCGTTGAGTTGGCACAGCGGCAGGACAGGTGTATGGATGGAATAATTGTCCAGATAGCAGAATACGGGCAGTTCACAGTACAAAGCCCCGCTAAGAGTTTGTCGCAGACTGGCTACTTTTCAGGTTTTAGATAAATACACTGCCGCGATTGAGTGCAATTTCATACTTAACTTGGGGACAATTAATTGAGGTGTTCCCTGCACCACACAAAACCATCATTTTGACAACCTACATGTAACACCCATTCGCAATAAGCAATTTTGATTTTTCAACAAAGATGAACAATCGGAAAAAGAAAACTTCCCACCCAAAGCCCATTTAGCAAATGAGACTCGGTTGAACATTTATCACATAATGCGCTGCAAAAGGACCTCTCCGTGACAACCTCTTGGTGGCGCACTGCACAGTGAATCACCCACATTGATTGAAGGGGAATTTGAACCTGTGACCTCTGGAACACTGGACCATTGCTTCACTCACTTCAATTGTTGCGTTCTGCAGATGACAGGTTCAAACCCTGCTCCAGTCAATTTCTTTACTCATCTTGACAACTGCTACGAGAGCACACGGTCAGTTTCCAAATTCAATTTGCAAGTGATCTGAGTATTATCTAGTGCTTTTCTCTGAATCTGCACAAAAACGTCCATCTTCTACAAAAAAAACCGATACAATTCCAATGCAGTACTCATCCTGACAGATTCCAGCAAACCCAGGTGTTGGAGTTGGGCTAGTTAGGGACCGTTGGGGTTATCCTTCTGACACATTTACACCACAGATACTTCTGTAAAGTCAATTCTGCAGCCTTCAAAATCAACCAGTTTTTGGAAACAAGCGATGCCGGCTTGCAGCGCTTCCTTTGCATGGAATATTACGCCCCACGGATATTAGAATACAAAGAGGGTTGCAGTTTGTTCCCCAGTGCTCCTGTCGACGGTTTGCGAATTGACCCTTGCACGCTCGTTGGGCATGAATTGCAGCTATGACTGGTAAGAACTTGAGGGGGGGTGGGGCTTAGCGGATCGGTCTAGTGTCCTACCTCCATGCTGGATTTGCTGTCACTCATAGCTGGCAGGATCAGACTCAATACATCCTCGCGATTCGAGCCGGCGTAGGCCAGACCCAACCTTGGAGAAAACAAACGGGAGAAACGACAAACGTGAACATTAGGTATCTCAGCACTCCACCACCGATAAGAAAAGGTCATGATTACGCGAACAAGCTCCAGATGATTCGCAGAAGCAAAGTGGATGTCAGTTCTTTGGTGATTAAAGAACCGACACAAACTCCAACTTGAAGTGTGATCGGTGAAGCTTTTAAGAAATTACCAAGACTTCTCTGAGCTCTCTCACGTCTAAATTCTAAGCACTGCGGGGACTGATGAAATATTGAAATGCAGGAGGGAGGTGGGACAAAGCATCGGCAAGGAGGTTTAGGGCCCACTAAAGGACCATCCCTACATGGATTTTTTGGCTCAGGTCTTGGGCCTTTCTGGGCGTCTCAGAGGTGCATTTTGTTTTCATAAAAACTGATCAAATTCTGGACATTCACACACATTTTTTTTCATATTGCAGATGAAATATTCTGGAATGCTCGTGCAGCACCCTAATTTAAAACTTGGCACCCATATTTTCAAGTTGGGAGCCTGGTTTTGAAACTCAGCGGCAGATGAAACCTGTTGGCCCGCTGGGACATTTCTATAGTTTGGAGGACACCGACATCTTCAACTTGTCAACAAAATGATCGACAGAAAGATCACATCAGACTGCATCCTACCCGAATATGGCTCCGATGCGCATGGTGTTGTTAGCGTGTAGGACATAATCGGACAGCAAGGCAAGGGCTGGATCGCATTCATTACGCACTCCCGAGTTGACGATACCGCACGCCAACAGGGCACCAGACTGAAAGTAAGCACAGAAAATATTCATTAGACACCATACTGCCTTTATAAATCCGGGGGAGAGACTGGCGGAAAATGACATATCCACAAAATAATCACCTGAGGTTTAATTCTAATTTCCACCCACTGGTAAGAGAACAGCGTGTATCTCTCAACTGGACTGGTGCTCTGTGGAATGCTTTCTCACCTTGATGTAATCTTCACTGGAGTACAGGTACTTGTCGATCTGGGTCAGCCCGCCGTCCACATCCCAGAGGAGGACCAAGCCCAGGGATGCCGCTGTGCTCATCATGCCTGCAAGAAAGTCACAGATAGGAAGGGTCGATCACGAATGAAAGACAGGCGAACTCAACACTAAAAATTTCACTTTATCAAGTACATGTACCCTGTAAACCCCCAAAATTTGCACAGTTCTTGGAAACGCACGTTTGTGTTTCATTTCAATTTTGTTTTGCTATTTACACATGTTTTTGGTGCTTTTTTAACTTTTATGCTCATGAAAATTTCCATATTCATAAGCAAATCTGTGATGTCATCCCAGTTTGCATCGATATGTGCACAAAAAATGAATTTTATTGGTTTTTGCTGTCCTAAATGTCCTTTTCTTTGGGGATTCAGTGTCATGCAGGAACATGGTAATATCCACTGAATGAACAACCCTTGCCAGGAACTGATGTTCTATGAGCACATTGGGGGTGCATAATCTGTACAGACAAACTTACACAGTGAACTGTAACAGCGCCCTCAGTTGTCACAGCATGGACAACTGCACTTTTCAAAACACTTTAAACATAGAAGGATGTCAGTCTTCAAACGCTGAAGAGCATAACAAATCTTTAGCAGAAAAAAAAGAGCATCGAGGAAAATTCTTCAGGTAAACCTATTCGAGTCACAGATTGAAATCATCTCACCTGTGGATTCGCTGTAAAAGCGAGTTTTACCTCTCAATCAAGCTACGTGCAGTTCTGCGTTTCCACAAAACATATTTTTTCACAGTTTTTTAAAGTGACGTGTTCCGGTTCCCAAATTAGACTTAAGAACTTTGGATTAAAAAAATCTTCACTAGTAGGAGCATTTGACAGAGTTGTTGGAAGGCTCAGTCTGGTCCCTTTTACTCACCGTGTTCTTTGTTCTTGTAAATCCAGACGTTACCGTCCTCCGTGATCAGCTTGTCTTTTCCAAAGGCGGCGTTGACGAAGCCGTTGACAAACGAGGCTGCCAGGTTCTGCCTGGCCGAGTCCACCTGGGTGCCCGAGGCACCAAAGGGCCCTGAAAATTGACCGAAAAAAGGATTTAAAGTCTCTTTGATCCCAGTGTGGGACAATATCCGCCACAAATTCAAGGGCACTTTTAAAATTAAATCAGGTTTAAAATCTACCTATCATCTCATTTTCTGAACCGTCTTTTTTTTTCAAATTTCAAATGTTAATCTGAATATAACACTTCTTTAACTTGAAAACGTACTCAACACTGCAGAATTGAGGACTTTTACTGCCAAATCGGTCAATCAACAGTAAACAGCATGGTTGATGAAGTACTATAAATCTATTTTCTTTTCACTTTTAAAAAAGGACAGAATATCAATACTGACTTGTATTTTCTAGGTGGCTTTTGTAGATGTCCTCGGGCACCTTGGGTTCCATGATGTCGAGCTGTGTAGAGCAGAGAGAAAAAAACCAGCAGCAATTGATTTTTGGTTTCCGTACTCTTTGGGGCTAATCTGAGTAACGGAGGAAAACAGACGCGGTTCCTTGTTCGCAGCACCCTGCGAACGAGGACATGATGAGGGAGAGCGCTCACATAGGGCTGAATACACGCAGCTATGCTGGCAAAGGGGTGACGGGTGTTCAACGTTAATACTGGAAACAACTTCTTGGTTTGACCTTAAACCCTCAGGGTGAGTGAAAAACTACCCTGAAAGTAAAGCACTGACATGACTGAGGACTGTTAGTCTGGTCACTAAAGGTCCAAGGACATTCATTTGATCCTATCTGAGGTCCGAGGACATTTATTCAGTCCTCTATTAAAAGGCCCAGGGATTTTATTCAGTTTTCTAAAGGACTGTTGCAGTCTCATGTTGCAATGGCATGGAACATCTGAGATCATTTTAATATCCCCCTTTTGAGTGTCCTTCCATCAAAGGCTCTCCCCAGCTATGTCTGGGCACATGCATTCTCCAAGACGGTGAGCAATGAGTAGGGGGTAAACTGCCTTGCCTATGGACACAACCTACAGCCAGCAGGTGGATTCAAACCTCTGACCCTCTCAACCTGAGTTGTGGACCCTCCCGTGAGCGAAATTGGCTGGTCTGGGAACAGGTAAGCATCTTTTTGGGATGGGGGGAGGTCGTTAAAGAATCTCCTGGCGTACCTCACGGCCTAGAGCTAGGAAGTTGATGTTGAGCTGGCTGTTGGACATGATCTCCGTCAGGTCCTCATAATCTTCTATTTCTTCATTCAGTTCTAGAAATATCTGCTGAGCGCCGAGCATGTATGCTAGCTGCTTCTGCATTAGGCTATCGGCAGGACAAAGATTTTAAAAAAATGACAAAATGGAAAAGAGTTAAATCCAAACCATATTAAATGCAACAGAATATGACAGTGGTAGAAGTTGTTCCCATTTCAACTGTGCTGCATTCTGTTGCACTTTGCACGGTTCCCATTTCAACTGTGTTGCATTCTGTTGCACTTTGCACGGTTCCCATTTCAACTGAGCACGGTTCCCATTTCAACTGAGTTGCATTCTGTTGCACTTTGTATGGTTCCCATTTCAACTGAGTTGCATTCTGTTGCACTTTGCACGGTTCCCATTTCAACTGTGCTGCATTCTGTTGCACTTTGCCCGGTTCCCATTTCAACTGTGTTGCATTCTGTTGCACTTTGTATGGTTCCCATTTCAACTGTGCTGCATTCTGTTGCACTTTGTATGGTTCCCATTTCAACTGTGTTGCATTCTGTTGCACTTTGTATGGTTCCCTTTTCAACTGTGCTGCATTCTGTTGCACTTTGTATGGTTCCCATTTCAACTGTGCTGCATTCTGTTGCACTTTGTATGGTTCCCATTTCAACTGTGCTGCATTCTGTTGCACTTTGTATGGTTCCCATTTCAACTGTGTTGCATTCTGTTGCACTTTGTATGGTTCCCTTTTCAACTGTGCTGCATTCTGTTGCACTTTGTATGGTTCCCATTTCAACTGTGCTGCATTCTGTTGTACTTTGTATGGTTCCCTTTTCAACTGTGCTGCATTCTGTTGCACCTTGTATGGTTCCCATTTTAACTGTGTTGCATTCAGCAGGGTGCCTAGATAGAATCTGATTGGGTTCTGGGGATTAGCAGGATGTCTTAATAGCACACCTGTCTTTGCAAGTAGTGAAGATGTCCTCGACAAGCTCCATATCGTTCAGCTGGATGGCCAATCGCATCGCTTCGGCATAACGGTTGAATTTCCGGAAGATTCCCAATGCTGTCCGCAACAGTATAGAGTCTTCGGGCTCCGGTACGTAATTGACACAACTGTGGATTGAGACAAGTCTACCATGAACATGATATCAGGGGGTGTTTTCCCTAATGACCTTGTGTTGTTGCACCTTGCCCTAAAAACCAGCAGAGTGCAGCAGGTGTCGAAGTCTGATACACTTTGTAACATGGGTCAATCAACGGCAGCCGAACAAACTCTCCATGTTGAGACAACGGGAGCTATGGTCCCAGCCGAAACTGAATGGGACACGTGTCAACAGCCCTACCCTCGCAAGGTCCCCTGACCCCCAGTCAGTGCTATCATGTCTAGCTGGAGAACAGTCTACGCACTCCGACCAAGCAGTGAGAGGGAACCCTGGGGGTGGTAGAGGGCCAAGCGAGATGCGGTCAGGACTGAAGTCACCTCGATCGATGCCCCCGTTTGACCTTGCGGTACATGTAACTGGCAATTGAACTTTGTGTCCCCTCGGTTCGAGGTTCAAGCCCCCTTTTACTGACCTGGTCAGGTAGAGGCAGACTCTGGGGAAGGCGTTCTCGTCCACAAACTCCTCCAGAAGGTCCAGCTTCTCGATCTCCATCAGGAGGTCGCAGGCCTCGGCCTCGGCGTTGTGCTTCATGTGATAGGGCACGATCTGGCGGGCCAGGGCCAGGAGGCGCTCTCGCTGCTCCTTGGCACTGTCTTCCTCCGTCTCCGCCCACACCTGGCCGATCTCCCCCGCTAGATGTCTAGAAAGAGAGCATGTGATGACACATCATTACCCTAACCTTTTGAAAGTTCCCATGGCAACCTGCAAACCTACTTTTTTGTCTATTCTATGACATTCCAAGACAAAACCAGGAATATTTCTATACCATTTAAGAGCATTTTTNAAGAGCCCCCCTGTAAACTGTGCCCCCCTGTAAACTGTGCCCCTCTGTAAACTGTGCCCCCCTGTAAACTGTGCCCCTCTGTAAACTGTGCTCCCCTGTAAACTGTTCCCCCCTGTAAACTGTAAACTGTGCCCCTCTGTAAACTGTACCCCTCTGTACATTTTGGGACGAAGGAATACATCTGGGGTATCTGTATAAATTCTTTTCTACCAGTACGATACGATACAGAATGCCAAGTGTCAAGGAGAGTTGGAAATGCTCGTTACCTGACATATTCATGACCCCAAGTGCCAATGTCTTCCTTGGACCCCAGCATGCGGTAATTCAGACAGTCCCGATTGTCGCTCATCGTCATTCCCAGGACAGAGATGATATCGGCACAGAATCTCTGGGAGAGATGCAAACCACAGAGGTTGAACGAGAACAAAAAGCAATCTCCTCTGCTCTGTTTTAATTCAAATTATAAAAACATGATACTCTGTTTTGGATGGATGGCATTTTAACTGTGAAAAAAATCGTGCCCCGTCATACAACACATTGCAAGGATTTGACCATGTTTCAATCCAGATGCTGCCTATAAAAACAAATGCCGGAAGAAAACACAGTCAGGCATCAGACTATTCCTTATAAACATACTTATACATATACGCTCCCGAAATATTTCGAGAAGGTAAATGAACCTATGCCAGGTAAGACAGCTGATAGCCGTGGGAGCGAAGTGCTTAACACCATGGGGACGAGGGTGATTCTCACCTTGTTCTCCCCTTCAACCATTTTGTTGTAGACCTCCTTGATGGTGCCATAATGTGGGCGGAGAAACTTGAGTGGTTTGGGGACAGATGTCATGGAGCTGGTAGACGCTCGAATCATCTGTCGTAACTGCTCTAAGGCGGGCCGGTATAATGTATTGTCAGGTTCCTGGAAGACATCCAGAAAACGAGGAGGTAAGGATGGCGCTTGAGACAACAAAAATTATGTCAAAGATGCACATGCGTTGGGTAGACGTTACGTTTTCTTCCTTGTGTCTGACTCAAGCCAGCCAGCCGATCCAAGCAAGCTCGGTGATCGAATGGTTACGACATCTGCATTATCAAAGGTAGGGTACACCACTGGTAAAATTCCCAAACTCAGACTATCATGTGCTCCAAAAAATCTCACTAGAAAGAAAGTACCTAACAGCCTCAATCTGTCTGTAAAATATTTCCACCCAGAAAGTTGTAGTTTTTGAGAAAACAGAAATTTAGTTATCTTTTTTACGCTGGTCGGCTGATCATCGTTTAAGAGTTTATTTCACTTTGCACATCACAGTCATTAACAGTTGCCAATGTTCTTGTGTGTAATGTCTGCAGGTCTTGTGGGAGTCTCCATTAATGAACAGGTAATAGCAAAAGCAACTGAAAAATACACCTGTAGAAATTCACCAAATGCAGTGTAAACTGAAATTACAGGAAACTGAGTGTAAGGTGTAAGAAAGGAAATAACTCGGATCAGTGCGAAGTTAAATTTTATTTAAGGATTTTCTTAATGCCAAAACCGGCGAATTCAAAATCACCCCTAGAGCATAATGGCATTTTCCAAATATTGTGGCTGTTTCGAGTTGCCCAGTGAAAGCATTTTCATCAACAAAAAGTATGATTTCCACACATTAAACCTCGGTGTGTCAAGACATACTGTAATCTCCTCTTTGCTTATAATTATTAGTTAGTCAACTACGAATGGAGTTTTAAGACTTCCGCTGATGTGTAAACTGACGTGAAAGTGTGGTCATTAAACACGATCACGCACGCACATGTGGATTATCTTACACTCCTTGAAGTGTCACGCACACGAGTCGACAGCGTTCCTAGATGAAGTTTTTTCATGAATCCGCAATAGTACACTGTCGAGGAGGAGCACTATTGCAAGGTAAATCCACTGATTACTCCTGGCTGTTGAAAACTGCTCTTTTGAGGCAAAGAGAACCTGTCATGACTGTTCCTAACCTTTTGTTCGTATACTACGAATGCCCTGTACTTCATAGATTTTACGCAAAATGAATTACAAGATCTTCGACTTAATCGTTGAAAATGCCATGCTGTGGATACTCGATTTGTCACAAAGCAGTTGACTCAAATATGACACAAGTCCATAGAATGTAAGATGCAGTGAATCTTCTATCCCGTAATCAGTAAATTTTGTGAAATTACGCCAAAAAAACGAATGGTGTATTCTAGTCCTACCAATCAGTGGGTCATGGGTTCAAGTCCCACCTGAGTAGATCTTGTCATTTTTTCATAAGCTCTGGGACAACGCTGGGTAAACAGAGTTATGCAAGCACGCCATCTTACCGTCAGCCTCTCCACAAGCATTGTCAGCTCCTCCTGTAACTGTCGGTCTTCCTCTGACTAAAGGCGAGAACAAGGAGAAATTTAATCAAAAATCCTGATTGACTACTCTTCGGTTTGTCTGAATTCCTTTGCTTCATTACATTTAGGGAAGAAATTGATAACACTCAATAACATCTGCAATAAATACCTCACTTTTTTATGTCAATGAAATATGACACTTTAACCGTCGACCTCCTAGTCACGATCCCTAGAGGATGTTTCAGGAGGAAACTAACCAAGTACCTAGTTGAAAAACAAATTCAATCAAACCCTATGCCTGTGACTCTATGGTTATTTGGTCTACACTTTTGCCATTTAGCCCTTTGTGAGAGACATTATCAGAGAACGATAAAAAAGCTTCACCTTGGGTGGCAAAATCAGGGGCCTGGTGACTGAATCCAACAAATGTGTTAAATACACACAGACTTTATATGTAGGCCAAGGCCACGTGTACAAACATTACGATTTTTCATGTTGTATTCATCGTAGTGGCTACTGTTTAATATGTAAGTTAAGACAGGTTTCTGTCTACTTTCTTGCACTAGTCGAGTACTGGAAACAGGAACCAGACCAGTCTGCAATGAATGTGTCTCAGACATGTCGGACTTTAACAAAATCCTCCAAGGGTAAAATGCCCTAGCCTAGGCTTAGGGCCTAATATATATCTGTCAAAAAGGAAAAAAACTTGTATGGAAAGTAAACGTAAACATGTGATCTGATTGAGAAAATAAAGAAAGCAAAAAGGAAAAAAAGAAAAATTCCCCCAGAGAGGAGATTGAACCAAGCATGTGTACGTGTGCATTTATACACAGTCATGACAGTGACAACCACTGTTACTAAAAAATGATCACTTCAATTTCAAACACTGTTAAAATTTCTTTTTTTTTTTTACAAAATTGGCACTCCCCTAGCTAACTTTAATTTTAACTTTGGGGCAATAGCGCAACTGGTGAAGGCACAAGCCGCACGTGCTCCACACAGACTGCAGTTAACATGACACTGCAGATTTGGTGCACACGGCAACTCATGACCAGACAAAAAGTGAATTTTGAAGTTGTATCACATGGCGTTAAATTGCTCCAAAATTTACAGAAACTTCAAGAGTCTTATTATCTTTCATACCAAATCTGCCTCCTTGTCTTCTTCCACTTTCTTGTCATTTTTGCTCTCTTCTTTTTGACTTTTCTTCTCTGCCTCCGGAGTTTTCTTGTCCGCTTCGACGGGCGCCATGTTGCTTGATTATAATGATGGAAAGTGACGAATGGTGGCGCTGTTGATAATTTTCATCACTTTAAATTTGATCGAGAAGGGGGCGCAATTTTTTACAAATTATTTTCACGTGAAAATTTGACATTAAGGGAAGCTGCCATTGTTGTGATGTGATTACTGTTGTGTAGTATGCAATAAAAATATTCCTATAGGCCTATTTTTTGTCTTTGATGTAAACGCAACTGTTGTGGTCGCACCCATAGAAAAACAGCGCCAAAAAAAAACCAGAGGCGGCGTTTTCTGGTAATGATGCTCAAGAACCAGCTAGCTTGTCTTCTCTCTCTGGAAATTCATAATTATGCACATTTGGACATGTCCTTTTTAATTTCCATAAATTACCCCAAAGTAGCAAGCCTATGGCTGCATCCCAATCTCTTGGCTAGAGCTAGGTCTAGGTCTTCGCTCCATTGGAATTGCGTGGAGATGCGCAGATAATAGACCTAGCCGTAGCTCTGCCAGTGGAAGCCCATTTCGGACACGGCCTAAACTCTGCATTCGGATGAGAATATAGCTGGCCGGCCTGCCTGGTCTATGCGAATAGTTGGAGGTTCAACGCATGCGCGAGCATTTTGGCAATCGGTCTCGATTGTGCCACCTCTCATCGTGGAATAAGATGCGCGCAGACACACTGCGCGCGACTCTGCGTGATGCACCTCTACAGCAAAACGCGTAAGCCTACCTACGCGCACGTGTGTAAAGCACATTCCAGGTGTCAGCTGAACTTTTTTCTGCATTAATAATTTTAATTCCATTCACAAAAATCAAAGCAATGTAATGAGCTCTGTTACTATGTGTCTTAATTAATTACAAGATAAAGGTCCAGATGTGGGTTCGCTAGTCAGGCGCAGACACACATTTTGCGGGATTAGGGGGCCTAGGCCAATATAAATGATAGGCCTATTATAGTGCTCACAAAAGTTCTTAATTCAATCTTTCCACTTCAGTTCGGATTTATTTTAAATGCTGTATAGAAACTTAAATTGAATGAATTACTAGAAAATATATAATGTACACTGATTCCAACCTCCCAACTCGGCTATACCCAACACTCTATTGTCTAAAAACTTGGTAATCATTTAGAAAATATCATAATCAATATTATAAATGTAATGTTTAAATCCAAATCGACTTGTTGCTAAGAAACGTTTTGAGGTCCAGATCATCATATAGGCCTATACATGCGTGCCAGGGCGCCTGCATGGAGCAGGTAGATACCAAAAGTAATTATTATGATTTTTGCAGCATGTCGCGCGGGAAAATTGCTAGGCGAGAATAGTATGTGGTCAGATAATCACGTACTTGATGTTAGAGCGTGGGAAAAAAGAAACTTCGAGTTGAAGTACTGTTTCCCCTAATTGGAACCAAATTCTCCCCATTATTGCTGTAAACTTTACACTTTTCTATGAAGATCGAAGTGGGAACAGTAGCAAACATGTCGTGGCTCCACGTAATCCGAGGGCACAACATTCGAGGAGCTTCTTGAGAAAGCTTGCGATCTGCAATTAATAATTGGAAAAACGGTCCGAAACGACAAATTTAGCGACGAAGACAAAATTAACATTTAAACTCGTAGTCTGATCGATGTACTTAACACGAAGCACTTTCGTCATTTGAATAACGTATAATGCGCACGCACAAAGGTCCTGCACCTCGCATGTGTGGGCGTTCTCGAGATGGCTAATCCGCCAAGTACTCGCCGCGGCGAGATACTCAGTTCTATCTCGAAAAAGGTTTTGCAAGTGGCCCATATACGGCAAGTGGCCCGACTCAAATTCTATTGACAAAGACAGGTCAGCGAAAAATGGTGTAAAGCCTTATCGCAAATACTGCACTGGCGATTCTGCTCAGTGGTAGAAAGGCAGTGTGGGAACGAGGAAAGGACAATGTTTGTTCCTTTTTCCCACAGTGCCTTTCTACAATGCATAATGGCCCACTGCAACATTAGTCAGGCCATAGTTTGACGCTTGGTGGCGCTGTTACCATTTCCTACACGCTTCGCTTTCGCAGATACACAACTTACTACACTGTCGATATCGCGCCGGTTCATGATCTAGTCAAATGGACTAAGAACTTCATATTTATTCCCATTTTGAAAGGCGTAAAGTTTAGTATAAAGGTATGTTTAGTGCACTGTCAAATATTTGAAGAAATTTCATGATCTAAGTCTGGGTTGTACTTCAGAAAAGTAACTTAAACTAGTTTAGCCTACCCATCCTTCAAACATGTCCAAGAATCTCATCAAAACAAAGCTGAAATCGTGGTTGAAAAATTGATTCTTGAACTTTAAACCTGCATGATTTCCAGCCATGCCGGAATGCATTATGCCTTTAAGGCCTAATCAGATAGCTTATTTCTTTAATATCTAAGACACAGCAGGCAAATTACTTCCGGAAGAAGCCATTTACAGATAGTCACGTACAAACTTCCATGAACACATTTTGGCTGGTTTGTTTTGTTTATCTCTTCTATTGGTTTGATTGTGTCAACTTACCCTTCCATCAAAAATATTTGTGCAACCTAATTTCATATATGCCTTCTTGATGAAGTAAGATACATTAGATGGGGAGATTTATTCACCTTATATCCTCATTAAAATGGGGAAATTCTTGAGTATTTTTCCCATCCACACTACAGAAAATCAGCAGCATCTGAGCTTGTAATCTCACTAACTGTCAGATGCGCGATAGCTTGACCAATCACAACACATGTCCTAAGCCTTGTTGACATATGTCAGTTGGGTCCAACTGGATATCAAATCCAACCGAGTCAGTCTCCCACACACTCTCTCACAAGACACAGGTGCTATCCACTTGGCCATTGGTCTGGCAATTAAGATCCAAGATTGTCATTCTCTATGTGCGTGTATTGAAGAGGGCGCTGTCTACATGTAGCTGCCTAAAATAATGTTTACTGCAATTTAACCGGCAACAGCAAAATATTCTTCCTTCACACTTTGATAGATCGTCATGACTTAAGAGCTGTCTTTTTTATCGTTTAAATGTAGATGTCGAACCAAGTGTTATGCCGCATTGATGTCGGACGCCAACCATACTTTCTGAAAACCACGTGCAGGAATGGAGGCCAGGAGGGATTTGATCTGGTCATCACAGATGCGGTCAACTCGTGGGAAGGACAAAGTCTGATTTTGTAGTTCATTTCTCACTTTAAGACTATTATTTGTGACTGTACAGTTGTCACCTCTGTATTTTTGCCAGCTGTTGTAAGCCTCGTTTGTTTTTCACTGTAAATGGCAAAATTTGGGATCGGATGACTCAGCATTCACAGATGTTGATCCCAACAAGGCACGCAAAGCCTTGAATCAGCTGGAATCTGGCTTTTTTTTAGCGACCATATGATTAATTTATTTCTGGGCAAATTACAGACTACAGATCAAAACAAAATCACAAAGAGATACAAAAAAGCCTGTGGATTGCCCAGAATGATTCACCCAAATGATGTTTCATCCCAAACTAGAATTACGAGAATTTAAAGCCAGTTTTAGTGCAATTACTTTGAATTCATCCATGATGGTGCGGACCCTGATTCGCCCAAATGATGTTTCGTCCCAAACTAGAATTACTACAATTTAAAGCCAGTTTTAGGTTTATTACTTTGAATTCTTTTTACGCAATAGTTTCTGCAAAGAGGTTGACACAACTCGCCAAAAAGGTGAATATGGAACTTGAGGAGTTTATCGAGCACACAAAGAAAGCACTAACGAGGCAAGACATGGGAGATCTGGCATTTGAATATCAGGTAAGCTGGGTTCAATCATTTCTTTAGGCAAAAATGTATCTCTATCCGTGCAAAATTTGCACATTGTTATAAACAGTGGAGTTACTTAATTGTTCATTATTTTGGGTTTTTTTTCAAGATGAGATGTGACTCTGACAAGTCGGAATTCTCGTGGAAGAAAGTCATGGCGAATGAAAGCATCAAGGTATTGTGTGAAATTTGAGATTTTTATTTTCAGTTTTGTTTTTATTAATCCTCCAATTCACAATGGGCAATTCACAATGCAATACGCCACCAAGAGGTTGCACGGAGAGGCCCTGTCGCAGTGCATTATGGGAGAAATCGTTGAGAAAGTCTCATTTGCTATAAACTGTGCTTTGCACAGAAAACTTGAATTTTTTTTTATGTACATTTATCTTGGTTGAAAATTCTGAATTGCTTATTGTGAAAAGGTTTTTAGGTAGTCAAAATGATGGATTTGCATGATGCATGGAACGCATCAGTCAATCAAATATAACTGTACGAAGTGTGCTTAATCGTGGCAGTGTGGCGACCACCAACTTGAAAAGTGGCCTGTCTGTGGCAGACTCTTGGTGGCGCTGCATTGTGAATTGCCCGTATTCAATCCCTAATGCCACCCAGGGCTGATATGTACGTGGCCAGAACTTGTCTTATTTCATTAACTTGATAAGATGGGTTCAATAACATATGCTTGAGTTGCTGAATATCTCTTTCATGTCAACAGCATTTTTTTAAGTTGGAAGGCTTGTGAAGTTTAGTTGATTGAAATCTGCATATTTTTTCTTTAATTTGAAGTTCCAACTTGGCTCTGTGGCTCTGGAGGTCGTGGAAGATTCTGCCGAGAGCATCCAGGAACTATTCATTTTCACCATCGACAATGCCGCATCCTTGAGGGACAATATCCGTCTCTTGGAGCGAGAGAACGAACGGTTGTCCACAGAGAGAGCGAATGCCCTCAAAGTAAGGCATTGTATTGACCCTCGGAACAATTAGCTGCAAATACATGTATTGCCCGCCATGATTGGGAATAGATCCCAAATCCCAATTCAATTATTGTGAGAACAGCGTACTTTTTAAATATTAAATCAAATTGTTTCAATGGATTACTTGGCAACATGGATAACAATAAGAGTGTCATTATAAAAAAGAGGCTATGCCAAATATTGTACCTGTGCCAAACAGTCAGGCCCCTTTCCATTTCAGAGTGATGAACGAGTAACATGAATTCAGGGAACAGTATCCAAAATGGCCACCTTGCGAATAAAATTGCTAGTAATACAGGTCAAGTGCCCTGCTCATGAACAGCTTACTTGTGGGCGATGCATTTTCTAGCTTTTGTATGGTTTTGTTTGACACGGCAGAGATTGGAGAAATGCGTCGGGATGCACGAGGAGATGGAAAAAGAGCTCTTCTCAAAGGTAGTTTTTGGAATAGAATTTTATGATTTCATAATATCAAGAATTAAATTTGTCATAGATTCATTTTCTTAACTGATATTGTTTTGTCATTGCAAACAATTCTAAACCTTCAAGTTGAATACTCCAAAATAATGTCAAATTAAATAGCTCAAAAGACATATAACATATTTCATTTTTCACAAACCAGATGTTTCATGAACTCAAAGGAATTTCAACCCTGTCTAAAGTCATATTTCAAAAGAACTTTTACCTCTGTGATGTTTTCGAGATGTCTGTTTGAAAACCCTGTCCACAATCATATTCACAAGCTGGTCAATCGATTGCTTGTTTGTGACAGTTCCAAGTTGTGTTGAACGACAAGAAAGCGAAGATCCGACGACTGAAGCAAGAAGGTGTGTCCCTTAAAAGAGTCTAAAATTCACTTGATGAAAGCCATTTTGGAGAGAACTCACAGTTCATTAGCTGTTAAAGGGCTTTAAAAAATCACAGTATTTTATTGTCACTATTAGTCACAGCCCCCTCTGTTGTCCAAGTCGTCAGTTTCTTTCCATCCCTAATCTCTCCCCTAGTGTATGACATCACACATGTAATTTACCAAGTTCATTACTGCTTGGCATCGTATGGCCAGTTAAGTGATCGTGGCAATCAACTCTCTATAGGCATGTCTGTTTGGAGCCAGGCCCATTAAGTGGGGCAGTGGTCGAACCTGGTCCACCTGCTGCACCTAGGTAAATCAGGGGTGTCCACGAGGATGGCCCCAGTCGTGTGGTGGAGGCCTGCTGGCGGCTAGCAGGGTCTGCCGTGCTGGAACTCCCTCTATGAGCCGGGCGTGGCCAAGAAGCTCATTAATGCATTGGAAGTAATGTTCATAGGATATCACAATTTCGGCAAATCCAATGCTGAATATGGATAGAAAATACTTGTCTATATTCGTTTAATGAATGTCTTGAACGTTGGTTCTCTTGCCAATTTGAGTCCTGCTTGAAAATAAAGGTCTTTCCAATACTCTTCAGCCAGCTCATTAGCCACAAATAATACCGCCAAGCGGTCCTCGCAAGACCTCCATTCATCAGGGGAGGAAAGTGATCAAGAACATCCGGCCGAGGAATCAGAAGGCGAAGAGGTCAGCACGGATGAGGAGTCAAAGGTCAGTTGCATTGAGGGATAGGCTCACAACTTGAATCTTTCTATGAACAGGCTGGATTCAAGTCCATCACAAGTCCATCAAAAGTCCTTTAAATTCTACCACAAATCTTTTGAAGTTGTTGGAAGTCTTTATAATTTTGTCACAAGTCAATCACAAATCCGCTCTGGTCCATTACAAGTCCATCAAAAGTCATCACAGGCCCTCGCAAGTCCGTCACAGGTCCTCACAAGTCCGTCACAGGTCCTCACTGGTCCATTACAAGTCCTCACACATCCCTTCAAGTCCATCATGAGTCATCACATCATAAGCCAAGTCACAAGCTGTTCAAAGATACTGTGACGAAAACATTCCTATGTCTTTGCCTGCTCCTAATACTTGTGATACACTCAAGAGAGGACTTGTGATGGACTCATGAGAGGACTTGTGATGGACTCAAGTACAGCTCTGGTGTTGAATCGCTATTCATGTTTTCAATCGATGTTTACTGTCTCAGGCAGCCAAGAAGCCCCAGAAGAGAACTGCACCATCCAAGCGAGTTGATCCAGACACCAGTTTGATCCTCGGGGAGGAACCAACCAGTGAGGTAGCTCCCGTAGGCAAAAGGTAATTGACTTCAACTGTGAAAGGATGGTTGAGATGATGACACTGACTGGGATTGGTGGGTTGAGATATGTAAATCACAGCAGTTCGAACTGTACCCAGGATTCCAAAGAGGGCACCTTGGAGGAATTGAATATTTATAACATCATTATCAGTATACATATTCATAATATTAATCTGATGAGTGTTAACATTATTAATATAGTTAATATTTATCACATTTATACTGTTAAGAATAACTAGCACAAAATAAATACTTGTAGTTATCCCTTATAGTATGATTTCGCTGAGGTATTTTAACCATTTGCAATGTAACAAATTTTCTTCACTTTTCTTCTTGTGAAGGAGGAGGAGAAGAGAAGCCACAAACAAACAAACGCCCTCAAAACCTTCCATTCCTAAAGTTTCCTCGGCCAAGTCAGACAGGTACGCACGCAGCCGTTTTGCCTCATTCAATTCTCTACACAACTGTAGGTGCATTTTAGAGGTTTGCCTTTGTCGTGAATCCGATGGCATAGTAGTAAATATTGCTGTGTCCAGAGCTAGGGGTTTATATTTACCCGCCAACCCGTGCTTAGCAAATCTCTGCAGCTAAGTTATATCCGCAGTTCGTTCTCCAGAGTTCTTTGCAAGGAAAAAGTAAGCTGAGAGGTGGTAAGATGTAAGTTACAGAAAAATCTTCATGACCCAATATGGTCTATTGCAAGAAACAACAGTATCTTGGTTGCCTCTGCAGCGTCCAGTGCATATGACGTATTCATTTAAATGGGCACAACTTGCAACATCTTCGTATGGGCTCTTGGCATTTGGTGGGGATGGCATTCAAAAGCCTGCCCATTGCCTCTCTCTCCTTGTTTTAATCACCTAGTCTTGCCTACTTTTCTTTGAAGGAACCATTTAGGTACCTCAATGCGTGCTCACAAATGAAGTACATCGTTAATACCAAAAAACATCTACAGGCAGAGGAGGTATCAAGTCAATTTTTGCATGGCCGAGTCAAGTCACAAGTCATTTGATCACGGGTCAAGTCAAGTCATATAAAGTCATTTGATCACGGGTCAAGTCAAGACACAAGTTATTTGATCATGGGTCAAGTCAAGTCACAAGTCAATTTGGTCCAGACACAAGCAAGTCGTGAGTCTTTTTGTCCAAGTACAAGTCAAGTCAGAAGTCACTTTTTGGCCAGTCCAAGTCAAGTCACAAATTTAAAACTGGTAGTTGCAAGTTAGAGTCGCGTTCACAAAAATAGCGACTACCGACTTGAGTCCAAGTGACTCAAGGCCACAACTCTGTCTATACTTGCATGAAACATCAGCCTACCAGTGACACCATGTATGCATGCTGACAAGGACTGAACATGTTCCAACCAGTGTGAAGTCAGGCTCTTCATTCTCAACAGACCCTGCCTTTCGAAGTACAAAGCTGTCCCATGACAAATTCTCAATGATTTTGGTGGCCTTTTTGTTCTTGCCATTTTGTAGGAGTGCTACACCCTCCACCCCGGGCACCACCGGAGAGGGCCGCGTGACAAGAACAACATCAAGCCGATCAGCCAAATCCGACCCAGATGTGGACATGCTGTTTGACCAGTTGTAGGCGGTAAATGGTCTGGCCGCTATGACCTTGCATTTTATGGTCTCAGACAAGTTCATCCAAAGAGCATTTTCCAACTCTCGCCTTTGCCTAAATTGTCTTCTTGGATTCTGTCGTTTTTCATGCCTTCTGACTTCGGGGATCCTATCTCCATGAAGGTCATTAAAACATCAGAAACGTTTTTACATTTTAACCAGACAGTAAAGTTTAAAACTAATCTAAGGTTTGGCAAAGGCCATAGGACTACATGTATTGGTCAGCAAGAAGTTTATGAATAACGTACTTTACCTCTGCATGCTGATGCCAATGTACACACAGATCTGTCAGACATTGATCCTACTTTGTTACCAACCCGGCTGTGGATTTTGGGATCAAGAAAATATCACATATTGTTGGAGCATTGATCTTTGTGATCTCAATCAAAATATGACAGCACTTTTTTGACATTAGTTCAAAATTTATAGCCCCATGGAACAGTTTTGTTATCAGAGAAGATGGATAAATTTGAAATTCCCCAAAATGTCCTGGTCCCCTATACATGGCAACGTGTTGCTGTTGGTAACCAGTGAAGCTACCAACCTTGGTAAGGGCACTCTTGAAAGTGGACTTGACTTCTCCAATCACAGACATTGAATGACAAGAGTTGCTATGATTCTTGAGTTTTAAAACATTAAATTTTCAAACTATCGCCAAACATTTATTTTTCCACGGACAATTTATTTTTTTCTCGAGGATAGTGGACTAGCCTTTTATAAACATAAGTTTGGTAGTCTTTATCTTAGTACGTAGTTCTGATCGAGCCTCTCCTGTCTGGCTTTGATAAATTCAAGTCACACAATTTCATTTTAATTTAGTGCCTCTGAGTATTGTGTGTGATATTTCGGGGTAATTTGAGTATGAATACAAATCATAGTCTTGGTGGTCAACATAGTTAAAGTGAGAATGTTTGCTTTGAAGATTTAAGTTGGACTTACCTCTGGAGAGCTGTACAGTTCCTCAAACTAGAAAAGTACCCAGCCATTTGTTGGTGTTATATTGTGTCCTAGCCGTTGACTTTGTCATGTCGCCCACACCATTGATGGGCCTGGCTATAACACGGCTCGTCAGCATGTGTGGCTTGAATTTATAGATCTTATTGGCACAGTGCCCTAAGTCGTTTGTGCACAGACTGATCTGCTGAATACTGACAACTGAAATTCGACATCTTTCGGTATGTCTACCGTCAAAGAACTTCCTACCTACCCGTGTAGCTGTCTTCATTTCAACTCTTCAACAGTGCTCGAACTTACTTATAGTTTTGTGTACTACTTTTTACAGATCAGTATATCTGAAATATTGAGAAAGATGGTTCGCACATTAAATGAATCATGAGATACATTAATGAGAAACATATTAAATCAAGTTGATCAAAATAAAAAGGATTGAACAGTACTACATTGCCCGAATACGTGTTTCGGTGCATTTCTCAATGTGTAATTCATATGTGATATTTGTTCTGATTTTTGTCAACAGTCTTGGGGTAGAATGCTCTGAATATTTATCCAACCTACGGTGGTTCAGAAAGGCCATCGTAATTTTCGTGTACCCTGATATTGTCACTAATTATACACAACAAAAATCCCCCGAGAGCTGCTTTGCCCAGAAAATGGAAGGTTACATTTTGGCAGACTTATGCTGAAAGCAATATAAAACTAAAGGGGGAAAAAAGAGAAGCCCCACCTGGAATGCTACGCACTCATAGGCCACGTCTCTGTGACTTACCCTTAGCTGTCTACTACTGCCAAATGGACCACCACGGCGATGTGACAATATCAGCACACTGTACATACCCGCTGGAGGTTGAAACAACCAACAACCACCACATCCGATCAGTGAGGACAATGAGAGAGTGTGACGTCACAGTAGGCTGTGCTGCATTTATTGGCGAGTGCATCTGGAAAGAATTCCTATGCAAATGTCTGCGGCTTGGCGGAGTCCTCCATCAATGGGGTCTCTACACGTGCTCCTCCATCGATATGACAGTGAACTTCAGCCAGCTTGGGATATAAAAGTAGTCAAAAATATTTCCCAGCAACAGGATGGTCGCCACCACGCAACTGCTAGCCTTTACTCAAGGCGCCCGTGGCTACTTGACACAAGACCCACGTGTACCTCGGCTGCTAGCACGGCAAAGACTACCCGCAAAGCGAGGTCACTCGCACTGGTCTTTTCAAGTTCGTGTATAATTATATAATTATAATGCCTTGACTAAAGACTATTTCTACCAGTTACGATACCAAACTTTGGTTTGAGAATGCAAGCAGTGACCGTGGCAAACAAGATTGAAAATAATGTTGAAGAATAATACCGGAATTAGCAATAACTGTGTTTATCGTCATAAAATTACAAATATGACCCAGAAAGGGTCAAATATGATCCGAAAGGGGTCTTATTTTGACCCAGAAAAGGTTCACGCCGAATGGGGCCCACTCTGGGTCAATCTGACACGGGAGTTTTTTTTAGAGTGTACTGAATACTTGAGGGCGCCGCAACCGTTTTGGATAGTATGGTGTTCTGTTGAGGCCACGGTATACGTACTGCAGCACGGTGAGAGTTGTTTAGCGAAGCGGTGAACGTCCCCTCAGTTGACCTTTGAGATTTGACCGCATCCAGAACCCTTTGACAGAAGAAGTGAAATGATTTTAGAATTTGTAATTATATCTCTTGCACTTAGTTGTTTAACTATCCATTATTTAAAAAAACGCCTTTTACATGTTTACTGGTATATTAATTTACAGAGAATGGAGCCAGCAACCAAAAAGAACTAAATAATGCTTTAAAAATCCAACATCCGTCCAAACCGTTCATTACAGATTATCCCTGTTATGTTACACAAAGTTTTGCCGAATTGTATTATTTCTTTTTGGGGGGGGGACAAACGGCGTACAGCGTTTGAAAGTGAAACGAAAGATTTTATTCAAAGTGAAAAATTATACTTCATGAAGAATTACAGTGCGAGGATGCTATTCCATAACGTGATTAAAAGAAGCTTTTCACACAGAGTGGGAAGCTTGAAAAAATTTAACAAAAATGTGAAAAGAATAAAACCACGAGAGAAAGCTGCAGTTGAAATTGAGCTTTTGCAGTTGGCAAAGGTAGGTATTTATAACAGACTGTGTGTTACAATTCGCACGCACACGCTGCAAAATCTGTTGCACTCTGTTCACAGCAAATGGCTTGCCCTTCAACATGTACTTTGCGTTGGGGAGAGGTTTATTTCATGTGCAGGATTTGCCCTTACACCCACGCATATCAATTAACACTGAATACTCAGTGTTGTGCAAGAGCTCGTGATCAAATATTGGAAGCTTACTCGGGTTGGACTCGAACCCACGACCTCCTGCTTATTAGTGCAGTACTCGACCCCAGCAAGCTCGGTGGTCCAGTAGTTAAGACGTCTGCATTAGTAAGCAGTGAGTTTTTATCACAAGCCCTTGGACAGCGCTTAGTATACAGTGTTAATTAATATGCGTCGGTTTCAGGGCAAATCCCACAATTAAAGTATTATAAACATGTTATATTATGCCATGCATTAAGCGAACACGAAAGCTTCTTTCGAAAATTTGCGTGACAAGCAAATAAATTCGAGAGCGCACAAACCAAAACGGGCCACACACGTTACTGAAAACCAACCCTAAACCTTTACTTCAGTAGCTCAAATTTCTGAAACCACTTAAATCAAGTAATATCAAATAAAATATCAAAATGGCTACAAAAACCTGGGCCCTCTAGGGTATACAATCGAATTGCTGTATTTGTTGTTCTGGAACTTTGTAACTTTCTTCCAGCTTGTGGCTGATTCTTATTTGGACATTTAACTTGTAGGCCTGCATCCAGCACTTCCTTTTAATATGGAAACAACCTTTTGGGAGGAGGGCCTCGGATTTGGCGTTAGTCGCACCGAACCAAATAGAATAAAAAGCACCGTGAGTTGATCCAAATAGTTTGAGGTTTCAAACATGCATTTGTATTTGAAGTAGCGTGCAGTTTGACGCACCGCTTCCTGCCTCGTTCGTTGTAACAAAGTTTGTAAGCAAGCAGGGACATTGCGAAAAGTACAGGCGAAAAGCAAAACCAAGGTCAAATTAACAACAAACGGTGTCAGAAAATACATGGAGATGTAATCGGCAACCCAAACCGTTGCCAGAATGATGAAAAAGCACATAATGTACATACATTAAAAAAGAGACATATGGACATAAAACAAACTCGAAAAACAGTAAGCAAAGCCAAGGCCATTATGTAAAAGTCTATTGTGCAATAAATAAAACATGAATAGGGGAAAAGCCGAACTGAGGCCATAGTGACTGAACAAAACATGTAATAATGGGACTATTTTGCAAACATGCACCCCAAAGAAATTTGCCTGTTTTGCACGGAGAACAGGAGTCAAGGATGAAGATATAGGCCTCCCTTCCAGCAGTATGAAGGGGGACGACTACCAGCGTTTATTGGGCAGGTGATCCCACAGCGCGAATAATGCGCGCGCACATTCAATATTTGGACGTTTTAATGGAATCTTTTGAAGTTCTTATTTCGCAGGACGGAGTGAAAGATACTTAGGTCAACAGGGCTTATGTTTCATTTTTCTGTCTGTGTGATTCGTGACAGACTTCAAAGTCTCGTACCAATGCATAATTCATATTATTTGCAGGTTCTTTACTGATTACCAAATGGCACCAGGAACACCAACGCTGCCAGTTGATCGTAATATTTTAAAGGCCAGACGTATTAAAACATGCCATATGTTGACAAAAAGCTGCATTGTGTTGACCTCAGAAAAAAATCATCCAGGCGTTTCAATGTCGTTCCGATCGGCTGCAACAGTTGATCTTCCGTCTGGCGCGGATAGTCGTTCCAAAGTTTTTCATATGTCATGTATTTTTCATGCAATTATCCAATCTCAGGTTGACTCGACTCTGTTACTCTATACGAAGTGTAAAAAAGTAGAGCCTAGGAGCCCCGAGCTGGACCAAGAGAGGGCGCACTTTTCCTAGCAACGGTGGCGCCTTTGGTCGAAATTGCACCTCGCTGGTTCACGAACAACTGTGACATGCGTGCGTAAGGGTCGCATCGCTACCAGCAAAATGAACACTTTCGACCAATATGGCTCTTTTCAACCGATGAGGGGGTGCTTCGGCTCAAGGCAGATACTTAAGCACAGGTTGGACGCCAATCTTCATTGCATTACCACCGCACCATTGTGCAGACAGGAAGTCCACCTGGGCTTAACTATCCACCTCAAGCCGAATGAAGCACCCCTATTCGTTGCTATAGTGACGCCACTATGACGGATGTATTTGGGTCATTCCATTGCAGACCACAACATCTGTCGACCGCAACTCATCCAATTTTGATAAAACCTGATGTGATTCTAGATACCGCTGAGCAATTAACACATGCCAAGAAAAAAATGGCAATTGTAGCATAAAACATCATCCTCTGAGTATAAAAAATACATTACAATCCTGAGAGTTTTCACTAGATACACGCTAATATGGTATCAAAATAATGACAAATGCATGTTTTAATAAATTGTGTTGCCAAAATTAAGCTTCATGAAGCGAGGGTTATCATGACTATTGACACACCAAGTTGACATTTGACCCAATTTTAAAAATAAAGCAATTTTTATCAAAATCGGAGAAGCTACGGTCAAAAGATGTGTTGGTTTGATAAAGATGACCCATTTCATAATCATTCATGAATCTGGGAAGTGCAATTCCCATTAAAGGGGCCCAACTGTATCCCTCTTTGGGCAGATACAATGTAATGATATACAGTTTTGTTTGTTGGCCCGCCATAGGCATATTCACTTGGGTCGAGTTCGGGCGGCCAGTTCTTGACACAGGTGTCTTGTTCTCGCTGTCGAACGGCGAGAACACGACTCAAGAACACTGTTCTCCGAACAGGATCACACACCACCTCCTCCTCAGGGTTTTACAGGAACACACAGAAAAAACTCGTGAGATTTGATTTTTGGACAGCTGCAAAAAGTAGAGAGATGGCTTCCAAAGCCGCAGGCAATGGGAAGTGTTGCCAAATTAACATTAATACTTTCCATAACACAGCAATGAATGTTCCTGTTTAAATAGAAAAGAATTCGGCCCATCCAAACATTAACTGTCAAATAACGTACATGGCCGCCGCCATGTTGCTTGCCACTAACTACCATCAATAACCGGTTGTTTGTTCCCGGTGTTCGAGCGGCCGACCCACGAACAGCAAATCGAGCTGTTCGTGAATATACGAGAACAAGCCGCCCGAACTCAGCCTTGATTTGCATAATTGGCGCGCCACTGCAACGCCCCACTCATACAATTTGATTCACAGAATCATTCAACTTTAAATTAAATGACTGAAAGTTCGGTATTCAATACCTTTCGTCTAATGCTCTCATGGTATCTTTTGATTTAAAGTCGGGCTACCACCATTTCGACATTGCTTCCGTCTATAAGCGATATTTAGATTTTTCCCGAGCTTTCACGGGGTAGACAGATATTTTGAATTCACTGTCTTACCTTTTGGCCTAACAACTTCCCCTTACATATCTACTAAAGCTCTTAAACAGTTAGTTTCTCATTGGCGGTACTGTGATATTCCGATAGCTCTCTATCCGGATGATGGTTTTATTGTCGTTCCACGTTCCGAGCGCTCTTCTGACCATTTTCAGACAGCTTTAGGCATCGCTAATCACGTAAGCTCTGATCTCTTAGAGGCAGGTTTTGTATACAACATATCCAAGAGCATTTGGAATCCTGCATCTTCCATCGACTGGCTGGGTATGAGATGGGATACCACTAGGGGTTCTCTGCGGGTACTTGCTCGTAGGATTGATAAAATTAAGGCATCTATACTATACAGTCCCTGCTCAAACAATTCGCGTCTCTAACTGTTAGGGACTTGCATTCATTCGAAGGCCAAATCATTTCCTTGTCGCCCGTGGTCGGCAATATTACAAGGTTGATGAGTCGTTATTGTCAGATGATAATCGCTGCCTCCTCCAATGAAAGAGACCCATTGGTACCTTCAAATGCTTGCTTAAGTTTTGGAAAGATAACGTTCAACATTTGAATGTTCGTTTTGCTTTTGCCCATCATGTTGATAATAGGATAATTTTTTTGGATGCTAGTTCAACTGGCGCGGGCGCCATAATCTGCAATGATGTCCACACTGCCCACAAGCTGTGGTCTCCGGCAGAATCAAAACAGAGTTCAACTTGGCGTGAGCTTGAGGCTATCCGTATTGCCTTGCTCTCCTTTCTTCCCTTTATACGTGCTTCTGAGTTAAAATTACTCACCGACAGTCAATGTGCAGCCACGATTATCGAATCTGGCAGCATGAAGCCACACCATCACAACTTGGCTCTGGACATTTTCGGTATTTGTCTCGGTAATTCGATTTGCCTTAATGTCGAGTGGATTCCCAGGACCATAAATGATCAGGCCCATTTTGTTAGCAGGATTATTGACACAGATGACTGGGCTCTTTTAGACGAATTCTTCTCGTTGAATTAAGTCTTGCTGGGTTCCGTTTACGATCGACTGCTTCTCTACCTTCTTTAACTCTAAATTGCCCCAATTTTATTCTCGTTTTTGGAGCCCACATTCGTCAGGCGTAGACGCTTTCGCTAAAGCCTACAACTGGCATGGCGAAAATGCATTATTGGTCCCCCTGTAGTCTTTATTCCATTGACCCTCAAGCACATGTATCGTTGCCGATCCAAAGGTGTTCTTGTATTCCGTGGTGGCCTTACCAACTTTTTTGGCCGTTGCTGTGGTCGCATTTCCGCGCCTGGATTATTTAGGACTTCTTTACTGAAGTGGGTTACCATGCGCTTAAACACGGCAGAAGTAACAGTAGTCTTCTTGGGTCAAGTAATTTCGATGGTTTCGTAGCAGCAGCATATTTAGATTTCGAGATGGTCTAACGACTTTACCACGTTTGTATTTTTTTGTTTAAGACTTCCACACCTATCAATATTTTTCTACCCTTTCGTGTGCATACAGATCGTTCGCAACCATTCCTTCTGGCGTGATTTTCCATGTCAGTTTCAAGCACAGAAGGATTCTATCCTGCTGGACACGATTTTTGCTAAATCTGAGGTACGGTGTCGTCTTATCTCTACAAAGGTCGTCAATTTCTGTCCTGGTTAGATTCACAGTGTATCGCCCCGTCTCTGCCAATTTCTGAACAAGTCTTGGCATCCTATCTATCCCAAATAAAATCACAATTGAATTCCGATAGTGTTTTGATTTCCAACGCTGCCGCATTGCAGTGGTTCCATTCCCTAATCAGTTCTAAAAGCAACACTCCTGATTCTCCCATTCTACAACATATCATCGTTAGCGGAAGACGCGACCTCCATCATCCACCACGTACAAAAACACCCAATTTCGCCCACGCAAGTCAAAGCAATTGTCGATCTGTTTGCAGGTCCGGAGGCTTCGCTATTACATCTTAGAAATGCTTGTTACGTCTCTCTTAAGTATGAATAAATAAATAAGTAATAACAATAAGAATAATAATACATATGAAAGTCAGGCGAGGTTTCGTATTGATATTGTATGCATCTGATGACCCGTCCTTATGATAAGTGCTTATATTTACGGGTCATATATCTACCTTTACTGACGCCGGACGGCTTAATTTAAACTTGATGTATAATTTTTCCACCCAACATCATTCGTGCCTATTCCAAGTCGGTCATCGTTTAATTGTGTCGCGTCGTTGGTGTAGGTATGTTTGGATCAGATGATCTGATTAATGATAGATTCAGGCTAAAATCGCATGTGTAGCGAAGTGTGGATCAGATGATTATGAGGGTCAGATGTTGGATGTTGAGTAGAAAAGAGCGTTAAAAAAATCCAGTGTATCATGATTTGATAAGCTCGGTGTTGGTGACACACCACCTCCCCATGCTAAATAAATACACGTGGAAGTTCATGGAGGTCCTTAATACTTAACTGCTTCTCGTGCGTATGAGCGTAGCGAAATAACACGAAAATGTCGTTTTTGCCCATTCTCTTTAGTTCCCTATCCGGGCAGTCCCATGCCACGCACACTTTAATTAAAATCTTTGACAATTCTTACAAATTTTGATCTGTAGATTTCCCTTCTTCCAAAAAACATTGCGACGACAATAAACCACAACGTGCAAGATTTCCCGTTTAAAAGTGTACGCAGCGTACTTGGTGGACACGCATCGTACACCCTTCTGAAAAACGCATGCGCGGGACAGCATTTAAATGATGACGTCCTTATCCAGTTGGTAATATTAGGGAGATCGATGTATACCTGCTTTCTTCGGTATGCTACAATGCAGACACTGTGGTAACAAGACTGAGTGTAGTGGGATGACAGCATCCTGGGTGTTAAAACGTATGTGATGCGCATGCACAATAACATTGTCCTGCACCTAGACTACCACACTCGAACGCATTGTATGATTTCAGTTACAATCTCTTGATGCGTATACACGTCAGGCCAGGTGTTCCATACAGCGCTTGATTCGTTTGTTCCAGTAAGTCAAATTAGATCTCAGTCCCGCAGAAAGGTGCTTCATCAAGTAAGTAACTGATACGTACAAAATTCTTCATCTTTTATATTTGTATATTTCTAATGACTGTTCCGGTCAATAAGTAATGCGAAGTGGTTATAAATGAAAAGAGGATGTGACGATTTGGCGAATTTCGTTTGCTGATTCGCAAGCTATACTATGCACCTAGTCAATTCATGAAAACCGAAACAAAACGGGCACCAGTTTGAAAAACCCCTTTTATTATGCACAAGGGTATTTTATTTCCTTCAGCGTTTAATGAAAAACTTAAGTATACGCTGTGCGCACAGAGCACGAAACGGTTGCATCGAGTGTATTTAAAGAAATCTTTGGGTATTTCAGAAGTATTAAAGGTGTCGTTCAGAAACGTGCGTTCGTGACGTCTACTATTTTGGTGTCGATCGCAGAAACCATGAACTGTACGTCGTCTAGAGTAAAAAAAGGTCCTCCATTTTCCCAAGAAGTTATAAATAATGTCTCCAAAACGTACCGGTTGAGAACAATCCTACATCATAATAGCATATGTGGTGCATACTGTATTCGGAAGTGCCTAGACGGGGCACAATGATTTCTTTGCGCTTTATGGATACACTTTTACGTAGATGATCTTGCAAAATACGTAACCCATAAATAGCATTCTGCCGAAATAACTGTCAGAAATGTTGGGGTATCAAATTGCAGCGTACGATGTTATCTTTAAAAACTGAAGATTTAATTCATTATTTGATGGGGGGAGCGGGTTAGCGTAGCGCTTCTTTCCTCGCTTTGCACCAATGAGGCCCGGGTCCGAGGCCCGTCTTGGCTCAGGCTTTAAGTGCATTTAGTTGCCAGTCCATACTCACTCTCGCAGGTTTTCTCCGGGTACTCCGGTTTCCTCCTGCCTCTAAAACTGGCCCTTCTTCCTAACTCCGTAATGTGATGCTGATTAATAAAGGGTATGAATAAACGTACAGTTATTGACGCAAATAGCCTGAGTTGCTGAAAGCGCCATTAAAACAAAACAACAACAATATTATTTGATGATTCGTTTCAGAGATATTTCAGCTAATAGGCAACACAACTACATGTCTTGTTCTGTCCAGTGGAACTTTATATTGTTAATCTTGCAAGCAGTCACGGGAATCGAATCCCCAAACTATGGGACAACTCTTTGGGTTACAATAACACACAGTTACAACAATACTTCTGGTTCAATAAATTTGAAGGAATGAAGGCGATGGTTGTTAATTAACTCCGCAGTATCAGAGTTTAATGAGTTTGTTTTCGAGAAAGCAGCTTCGACACCTTCCAGTGCCGAATTGTAACGTTCATGTCACGTGCTTTTATCAACAGTAAGACATGGTCTGAACAAATGCGGTAACAAAAAGGTAAATTTCAACCTGCCCCAAAATGCCGTTCTAGGCCTACATTCAAATATTTATATTCACAGTAATTTGTATTTTGTTCAAATATTTGTGACTCTAGCTAAATACGTGACTCAACCTTTTGGCCTAATGACTCGACCTGAGTCACTATGTTGCAGTGACTCAACTCGACTTGAGTCTCAAAAATCATTAACTCAAGTAACTCTGATACATAAGTGTACACTACGAGAGGCTGGTAGTGCAATTAAGTATGTATCTTATATTTTCTTTCCAAGGTTCCTTTGTATCAGATATAGTTTCTCCAGGTGTATGAGACCTTTTGGGGGGTGGAAACATAGTTCCTATTTTGGAAACAGTCGCAGTCTTTTGATCTGGGGACTGGATTTTTCCAGAGCTACGGCTAGGTCTATTGTCTGCGCGTCTCCTCGCATTTCCATTGGAGCGAAGACCTAGACCCAGCTCTAAACAAGAGATTCGGATGCAGCCTAAGTCTTTGACACATTGAACACAAATCGAAAATAGCCCTATGTTAATGAAGAACGTACGTATGGCCTCCCTCAATCTTGTGAGCAGCCTCCCTCAACTCTCCTGTAAGTTGCTTCCACAAACTGTTCAGTTGGAAAATGTCTTCGGAAATTCCGGTGTTGTATTTCAGTCCTTTCAAAAGTCCAGTTACAAGTCCCTTCACAAGGGACTTCTTGTAATGGACTCGAATACAACACTGGTGAGTTCACAGCCAAAATCTTTTAATGTACAAAATGAACCTCCGTACACAAAGGGAAGGGGCGTGATTATACATGTCACCTCGACGTGTTAAGTTAGATGGAGTGGCGGCACGCCGCCACCATGATTTTCTTGTTTTCCGGATTGTTTTCTCAAAATTAGAAAATAACAAAGGAAACCGTCTGTGCAGACGAAGTTCAAGGAATAATCGGTCGATAATATACGTTGGATACAACAGGGGGTTCAGGATTATTAAAAAAAAAAAGATTGCTGCCACGAATTAAAAACGTCACAAGTGTAATGCGTGTAATGATCAATATAAGACTCTGTGTAAATAGAAGAATTTCTGACAGGTGCATGGGTGGAAATGTAATGTACATGCGTGCTGCATGGTTGCTCATGTACCCTTTTCTGGTTTGTAAGACAACTTGGTCACGTACCAAGATCACATGTGCCACATATTCCACGGTAACTAGCGAAAGAGACATGTTTTGGGCCTTTTAACCCACGCTGAGTTGATCAATCATCATGTAACTTTGTTTTAACGAGATATTTTTCTGAAGTTCGCCTGTTAGAGACACATACTTTCCATTTCGTTCTTGTGAGACTTATGTTTAGAAACACTGCTTCTATTTATATGAAATCGTTTTTAGGAGATCTGTATTTCCAAACTCGTTTTTAGAAGTTTTTTGGGGGGCGGGGGGACGTTTTTATAAGTTATATATTTGTGACGTTTGTTTTTCTGAGAAATAAATTCCAAATGTCTCCTGAAAATGAACTTGGAAAAAATGGCCGGTACAATGTATAGCGTTTGTCGGTGCATTAGGCCGATTCCGTTTCCCTGCGCTCTGCCAAAATCAATAAAATTGACATAATTGGCCCGGATAAATCAGTCTATTTTTAGGTGAAGTGCGCGCACTTACGTTCGGTACTTTTTGTTACAGTCAGCATAATCAAAATTTATGGAAACCAGTATGTGAAATTAGAACGCAGAGTAAATTTGTGATGCATATCAGGAAATCCCAACCTAAAAGCAATAGTTCACCGCCCTCATTTGCGAATGTTGACATTTCCCGGAAATCAACGGTATATGGGTTCGAAAAATTTCGGCGTATGTCGGAATAGTGGGAATTCTTTGTGCAACCTTGTCACGCGACCACGACGGCTACCTAAAGGTCTGGTCCTAAATTAGAGGGAATCTTTTGGGTCTGGCACCAGATCGAGTTTTATTTTTGCAGGGGAGTATATTTGAGAACTATACCCTTCTAATTAATTAAACCCCAATAAAAAGCAGTTGAACTCAGAGGTGGACAGAGTCAAGTAAAATTGTCCAGTCAAGTTAAAACATTATCACTCAGTTTGTATTATAGACGAATTAGTTTTCCCGACAGACATTGTATATGACATGTCATAAAACGCTTCAGTGATATTGTGAGGAATATATAATAAATTAGCATGGAAAAAAAACATAAAAAATTTCATCTTGAATAAAAAAGCCAAATATGTTGTCGTTTGAAATGGCTCATCAGTCATGCGAGGCGGATGAATATTACATGGTACCCATGCAAACTTTTTATACATTCAGCTCAGCAACAACTGTGTCGACGACGAATGTATGAATTTGGACAAGTTTTCCTACCATAGAAATAAGCCAGCTGGAATTCCATATTCCATTAAGGGCGGGTAGCAGTAAAGATAAAATCCAACGGAAAGGTGAGAGAGAAGTGAAATAAGAATCACCAACTTGATAAAAGAAATTTGATGTGGGTGCTTTGAACGCTGGGGAAAAATAAAGAAACCGGAGAAAGAGAGAAATCTGAGGAAACTTCATCTATATTATATCCATGACATGGGGGATAGTCTCGTATCTCCAAAGCGACAACGCAACACTGTCATGGAGCAACCTCACACCCATCTTTCGCGAGATATGGTGTCAGCCCATTGCAGACAAAGGAACCTGTAAATGAAGTGTCGAAGGAAAGACGTTTTCAATGAACAGTTCGGCTCAGGTTATTACAGATGAAAACATTCAAACGTTTTCAAACTTAGACAGCTTGGTCCCAGACATTCCAGACATTCATACCACTACAGAAGTACAACAAACTTCCAGATACCCAAACGTGAATAAGCAACAGGTCCTGACAACTTCCCAGCAGGAATTCTGAAGGAAGGTTCAACCTGGCACTAGCACAAATTTTTACAGCAGTTGTTCCGTTAGCCTTTCTGTACTGGTACATTACTATAAGACTTTCAATGAACGCTTCTCTGGTAAAAAAAAAGGAGAAAGAACACTCCCATCAAACAACTGTCCCGTTTTTCCTTTTATCCGCGTCGAGCAGAAGTATCCTTTCATCGGATGGAAAGAGCCATATTAGTTGGGAGTGTTCTTTTTGTTGGGTGGCGATGCGACCGTAACGCGCACGTTTCATAGTCGTTCGTGAACCAGCGAAGTTCAGTTCCGACCAAAGGAGCCTCCTGTTGCTGAGAAAAAAATGCGCCCTCTCTTGGGTCCAGCTCGAGGCTCGTACATGGGCACATAATGGTAAGCAATATAGTATTACTCACATCGACAAAATACACACAAAAGCTCGTCCTACTGACAAGGTGAAACCTGTTTTGCCCGAGTGTCTCAAACAACAAGAAGTCATTTCTTAAAGAGACAAGTTTTCAGTGCTTTCCAAAAGCTTATGAAAAAGAAACCGCGCTCCCTACAGCCGCAGTACTTTACACCGAGCAAACTGGCTATTCATTATGTGCACATTAGATAGCACGCGACCATAGACCTTATTCACATGGAAATTTGTTCGTCTTTATTCCCCGAATCTGTTTCATAAATTGCAGCCACTTGATTAAAGCTATGAAATTGCCGTGTGTTTCAAGCCTCCCTTTCAATATTTTTTTCTGGCTTAAAAAAAAAGATGCATTTTTGCATGATATATACTCATGTATACAATCACGTACTTTGATCCAAGAATGATGCGCATGAACACTAAAACTGTCCTGGACTCAAAGAGTAGCACATTCGAACGCATTGTATGATTTCGGTCAACAATCTCGTAATTGCGTATACAAGTCAGGCCAGATGATCTCTACAGTGCTTTATTTGGTTTGTTCCCATAAGTCACATTAGATCTCAGTCCAGCAGAAAGGTGCTTGAACAAGTAAGTCATTGACAGGCCTATATACAAAATCTTTCATTTTTATATTTGTATTTTCAGATGACTGATCAAATGACACGGAAGACCTGTTGCCCGTGTTCCCCGAATCTGTTTTATAAATTGCAACCTGTTGACGAAGATGGCGCCAAGCAGTTCTGTAATTGCGTAATTGCCGTGCGTTTCAAGCTTCCCTTTTTTCTTAATATGGCTTAAAAACAAAAGGTACCTTTTGGCATGTTTAGCCACTACTTTGAAATTATTTATCAGAGTAGACAGGTCACGAAATTTCATTTTATTGCTTTTATTTCTATTCTCCACATTCGAAAATGAACTGTGAATGTCGCTTTCAATTTTAATACGGCTGACCAATTAGTGGTTTTTAATGCGTACTAACTGTTCGTGTGCACCTGCGCATACACCTGCCAGTTCGCTTCCAGCATTTGTGACACTCATGTTGCAATATATTTCTACGCACGGCTCTGCAATCATAAAGTTAATAGCGCCCAAAAAATGTTCGGGTTTGATTAAAAGAAACCTTTTGGATTGAAAGCTTTCCGTTTATTTTTTTTTAGTTAGACCCAGAGCTGTATATAGGGAAAGAAACCTAAGCTTTAGACTTTGGAACCAAAATGGTTATTAATTACGTGTGTAGTAAAGCGTGCAGCTATTGCTAACTGTCCATGCTCACTGATAATAGAGCTATATATAAAAACTATATAAAGACTATATAAAAACAGCTTAGGTTTGACTCAATTGGAATTCAACAGCTCAATCAGAGACTCCCATCAGAAAAAAATCATTCAAAGACCACCTCGAAAAAGTGTAGAGACGTGTGGCCCAGTTTGTCCAAAAAATGGCTACCGAAAGCCAGACCATCAGCATCATAGACATGATCGGAAAGGTCAAATAAAATCAACTTCAAATGAAGAAAAAAATGCACGGCTGATATCTATAAATTTCAGAAACTCGTTGTCTCACTTAACACAAAATTTAAACTATCGGTATATGATCTCTAGACTAACAAGGACTGCTTTTTAAAGTTGCTATCCGAGTACTATGATCTCTAAATGGCCTTTTTCTTTGCCATATGAAACCAACTTAGCACCGGGTTCCAATTTCATAGAGCTGCTTAAGCACAACATTTACTTAAAGGTGACAAAACCTTGCTTGACAAATCAGGTTACCAGCTAAAACTCCATGTGATGTATATTGGTTTGGAATGGTATTCATGCACCTGTCTTTGGGTTAGCATGACAATCACATAGATTTTGAGATTTTTTGTTTTTCAGCAAGGATTTCTGTGCTTAAGCAGCTCTATGAAATTGGCCCCAGGTGTTAAAATATTCTTAGTCGCGATTGACAAAACTTTGGACTGCACGTTACCAGCCACATATCAGGGATCAAATAGGAGGTATGGGATCCTTAATTGGCTCTGGCCAATGTCCAGCGAGTACAATGAGCAGCGTTAACAGATGACCCTTTGGCACACACACAAACACAGTAATTCTACTTGAAAATAGCAAACTTTCCAGCTTTCTGAAGTTAAATTTGCAGTGTACCACTGTAAAGACCACGAACTTCTCTCAACAAATTCACAGTGTTTATGCAAATAAGCTTCTGGTCTACTTTTAAGTCATGTAGATTTTCATGCCTGATAGTGACTGGCTGGATTCCCCTGTGGTGCTGTTGTTTGGGTGTGGCTCACGTGCCTTGTAATACCAAACAAAAAGTTACACAAAGAAGAGTATAAAGACATTTGGGATAAACAGCCAACCATCACTGAATGACTACACAGTCACCCCTTCCCACGATGTCAACGTACAAGCGCGCTTGTGATGTGAACAAAAAACAGAACAAACAAAAACAGGTCAGGCAAAAGACCACATGCACCTTCTACATAGGCTGACCCTTTGCCAGTTTTTGTGTTGAATGTTTTTTGCAATAATACTTCCACCGCCTTATATGTGTTTGCTATATACCAGCTTCAATTCAGCTTAGTCACTTGCTCCTGGTTCGGTTCTAGCCGTAAAGTGTCAATAAAAGTCCGTTGAGTTGTTCTGCGTTGATTAACTGTGCAAGGGTCTTCTCTTGGAAAACAGCATTAGGGCCTACACCATAGACGCTGACGCAAGAGAATACCATATGGTACATGTCAGGCTGGTTGGTGTTTACTTGGAGAGACACTCAGTTTTCACATTCAAATATAGAATTGTGCAGCTGAGTCCCCTATACGTTTTTGCAATTTGAGACATTACGAGATTTTAGCCGAAAGGTAAAAGAGCGAGTCCCTTATAAATCCGCTCTAAAACAGTGGAAAGCACTCACAAGGAGGAGCCACATGAAGGACAACTATTTGTCGAGGTGTTGCTTACATGGCTCATTGAAAGAGTGGAAGTTTCACGCCTTTGGAGTGGTTCCACGATTTTCAGAAGGGTTTTCACACTTTTGGAGCGGTTTATGTGGGAATTACTCTTTATGTGAGCGAGTGGTTCACTCTTTCGCCGTACGGAGGTTTAAGGTATATTTATTGCAGACTTGCTAAAATGTTTAATCGTCCTGTACTGAGATTAGCAGTTGAAGTCCTTGGTAAAATGGTTTCAATCTCTTGAACGTCGCTTAAATTTCGGACAGCAGAGTGGTTGTTGAATTTTGCAATTTCTGGAAAACTGGATTGGTTGACAGGAAAAGGAAAGGATTGAGGAGCAGCAGTTCAGCGCAGTCTGGAAATGATGGAAAGCGGTTCCAGAAGCTCTTCCATTCCCAGCGTGAGTTCTAGCGTTGGTCCCTCGGGTAGGAGATCAGCTGGCGACGAGCAAGTGCATTTGCGAAGAGAACTCGGCTTGCTAAAAGGTATTAAAGTCAGAGATTTGTTTTTGAATCACAGCAAGTGTTGCAGAGTCAAGTCCATCGCAGGTCTATGCGAGTTCGTTACAGGTCCATCACAGGCAATAGACAGTCGTAAGACCAGTCACGAGCTTTTCAGAGAAAGCGCTGTAGAAGCATTCCCTAGTGACCGTTCGCCCTCTTATTTGCGACTGGTGTTGAGAAAGGACATTTCAAAAACGTGTGATGTGCTTTTGCAAGACAGGATCTAGCAGTACAGATTTGCACTTGCGAGAGGTATAGTGAATTCAACTATCGTGCATCCACACTTTTCCACGAAGTTGAATCCCTCTTCTCTGCAACCATTCCTGTGTCCGTCGCTTCCCCTGGGTCGGGGAGACTCGTTGGCTGGGGTGTTACTCCTTGAGGAATACGCAGCATTCCAAAACTTGACTCTCCAATCATTTGGAAGTCAATCTGGTCTGGTCAGAACTTTGAGTGCAAATCCTACGATAGTCTTTTAGGCATCTATTCCTGTTGGATACCATATTTGCACAGTCTTGATTAACCAGGTATACCAACACATATTGTACACATCCTGTAACATCTTCATATGAAAAGATTGTCTATCGTCATTGTTGCCATCTTCATTTCAAATCCAATCAAATATAGCCATTTGGAATCCAAGCAAAAATGCCCAATAAATTGACATCTTTGATCGGAAATCCAAGACTTTCCTTCAAGGTTTCATTCCTTTTCCTAAGCCAGCGTGATTTCTTTTCTTCTTTTTGATCTAGACAATTTCTCTCTCCTCTTACAGCAGTCTCCATTGTTATGGGATCGATTATTGGATCAGGTATCTTCATCTCACCCCAAGGTGTCTTGCGAGGAACGGGGAGCGTTGGTCTGAGTTTGATCGTCTGGCTCGTGTGTGGGCTCGTTTCGTTGGCAGGTTAGTGTGGACATGGCAGTCTGTAGATTGCACTGCAAGAAATAAGGTACAGAGTCCCCAAGGGGACTACGGAGCCCCTAAGGGGACATGCACAATGAGGATTTTTTTTATTTCGTTCCCTCGAAATATTATTTCGTTCTCTCGAAATCATTTCGTTCGCTTGAAATGTTATGTCGTTCCCTCGAAATATTATTTCGTACCCTCGATATATTTTGTTAATCAGTATTCATTATTCCTTCCCTCGAAATGTTGATTTCGTTCCCTCGGTGTATTGATTTCGTTCTCTCGAAATACTGATTTTACTCCCTCAAATATTTTGTGTACTTGGCGCCATTGTCGTACACCCGTGGAACAGGAAAACGCTTCCAGGATGATGTTACTCCAAGGTAAACAGAGAAAACTTCAACCTTAGGCGTTTTCCTGTCCCACAAATGTACGACAATGGCGCCAAGTACACAAAATATTTTGAGGGAGTAAAATCAGTATTTCGAGAGAACGAAATCAATACATCGAAGGAACGAAATCAACATTTCGAGGGTACAAAATAGCATTCGAGGAAATGAAATAGTATTTCAAGGGAACGGAATATCTCATTTCAAAGGAACGAAATGATTTCGAGGGAACGAAATATTAATTCGATGGAACGAAATAATATTTCAGAGAGAATGAAATAATAATTCGAGGGAACTAAATAATATTTCGTGGGAACGAAATGATTTCAAGGGAACAAAATAGTAATTCGAGGGAACGAAATAAAAAAATTAAGTTTGAGCGACGTCTGGAGTTAACTACAGTTTGACCAACGCCGCACGAACGACTGTGGGTTTGGATCAAAGCCGTGTATAGAGTTGTGACATAATTGTCACTTTTGTAGGAAACGAAGTGGCAGGTTCATGCGTCAGTGCCCACAGACAAATGATATACAACAGCCACACGGTCTACTGTACACAAAATGAACGGGCAGTTTGTTTCTAAACTCTGCAACTCTATTTATATTCATGGTTGAATCAAGAGTCGTCAGGGACTTTGGTTAGGGAACCAGACTATGACGGAATGATCGACTGCTGAATTTGTTTCGATTGTTTATGTAGGGGCGCTCTGTTTTGCCGAGTTGAGCATCGTCACCGGCAAGTCGGGCAGCCAGTATATTTACCTCAAGGAGGCCTACGGTAACATCCCTGGATTTCTCTACTCTTGGACTTCAAGTCTCCTCATGCGACCAGGGGGCCTAGCTATGGTGACCCTCGCTATGGGGGCGTACTTGACGGACTTCCTCCTCCCCGGCGACTGCCCGGTCCCTGATACACTCATCAAGCTGTTTGCCGTGTTGGCTATTAGTGAGTACGGTCGGGTTACCAGCCACCTGTTTGATATCCCATCATGCGATATCATAATCAGAACAAGACTGCAAAGCACTAAACAAATGCTCCATGCTGTAAAACCCAGGAATTGTTTTACTCGTAGGTTTGACAGCGAGGGACATGATAGCTTTCCTGGCGCTGAATGTAATGGGAAGGAAATATAAACACTTTCAATTGTTGAACACTATATATATCACAGAGGCCTAACATATCATAAGACAAATTTTAGGAAGTCTGTTTCCCAAGAACACTAACACAGTAGCAAGTAGTGTAACTGGAGGGGTAGGAAGCCCCCACCCGAGGCCTGTGGCCACTTCGTGTTCCTCCGCACAGAAAGAAAACTCCGCCTTAGTCCGCCTTAGTCAGACTGTAAAACGGGGGCCCACCCAAGTGCCCCTGGAAAAGTGCACCCCAGTTACGCCACTGCCTGACGTTTCGTCTCCTCTTTATTGAAAAAATTCCCTAGCAAAATTACTTTGCCCCATCAGGAAGTCTCCGACTAAGACTTATTCTGGCTATCAAATGCAGTGTTTGCAGGTTTCGTGAATGCGGTCAGCGTGAAATGGACAACTCACCTCCAGGTTGCTTTCACCATGTCAAAGGTCGTGGCGTTGCTGGTCATTGTTGGTGTGGGTCTGAGCCAAATTATTCAAGGTGAGGCCGGAACGAAAGTAGAACCTCTGTTCTTCAGCAAGTTAGCGAAATGAAATCGCAGAGTAATGGAGAATTGAGAAAGATGAAGTTGACACCGAATATCTGGTTTATAAGGGCTTCGATCTGGAACTTCAAAATAGCACTGAGGGTGGTGTTGGTGGTGATAGTGTGGTAGAGATGGTGATGCAGGCATGGTGACGGTCATATGGTGATAATGATAATGTTGATAAGAGTTAATAGATGCTTACGGTAATATAATGCTGGTTGCTGACGATTAAAGATCTGAGCTTGGACAAACACTAAGAGACGAGCAAATGTATCGGTGATGTTATTACTTCCATTTCCCTCCCTCCAGGACACACTGATGCCGTTAATCCCAGCGTGTCCTTCCACGGCTCTAATAAAGATATCATCTCCCTAGCAGCGGCATTCTACCAAGGCTTGTACCCCTACGATGGATGGTAAGTGCCACCTAAAATGTTAATTTTATATGACGCATAGGTAAACCATGGGTGTGATAGACAAGGACCACCAATGCTTTTGTTCAGGTCACTGCTGGAATGGGCGTGATTGCCAGTATGGATCGTGCTGCCTGAATCCGCGTCACTTATGGGATGTTCTGATGTTGGAAAGTGCATGACTTTTTGACACAATTGCAAGCATATAGCCTCACTTTGAAAAGGTATTTAGTTTGGGCAAATAAAGGTGGTGTGACATTTTATCCACAATTGATAATAATTTATAACATTTTTTGCCCCCATGAATTCTCTCAGTTACATGTTTGTCGAGTTTATTAAAAACGTTTTCACAGATATTGCCTCATTTTTCATTCAAGATGGCCGACTCATCAAGAAGGCCAGCAGGTTTGATGTAAAGAATATGTAATGATGTAGACGTTTTTATTACTACCTTGTGTTGAAATAGTATAAATTCCAGGAGATTCCATAGATATATAATAACATGCACCTAAATTTTGTCATTTGAACAGGGGTTCTTTAAACACCGTTTACGAAGAAGTGAACAATCCAAAAAGGTAACAAAATTTTGGTTCAGTGCATTTCGTTAATGTATGACTTGTATGAAGTGTGACTTTAAATCTTTGGTCTATAAACAAAGGTACTGAAAAAAATGAGGGCCGTATTCAGTTGTGAGGACTTGAGCAAATTTTCCGGGTGGGTGGTAAATAATTTTTCCATGAGAAATTTCCAGGGGTACAGCTTTCATCGACTGTTCTTTCTATAGAAACGTTCCTCTTGCGGTCATCATCGGGATACCGCTGACCATTGTGATCTACATCTTGGTCAACATCTCGTATCTCACTGTGCTCACTCCGGATGAAGTCATTGCTTCGGACGCAGTCGCTGTGGTAAAGATCAATATCGAATTTGAATATATTTCAGTTACATCTCATATATAAGCACAAGTAGCTTCGAAAAGTACATTTGTGGGACATGATGACAGAGGGGTACCTTACATGCCTAAATGTACTCATTTAGTGTATTTATAAGAAAAATGAGTCAAAATAAACCTACTGTAGACAACATTCCTATTACCAACGAAAACAACAATCTCTGCAACTCAAAGAAATAAACTGGGTCGATAGCAATGCACGACTATTCATGTTCCATCGAGCAAACGCAGTTTTTCACCCCTTCTATCTCAGGCTTTTGCTGAGCGATCTCTGGGTGCCATGTCGTGGGTGATACCGCTGGGCATCTGCATCTCAACATTTGGTGGGTCGATGTGTTCCATCTTGTCCGACGCCAGGTAGATATCTTGGAGAACGTTGACAAACATAGAAAATGTTCCACTGGCGGCAAGTTTGTGTGCCTGCCACTATACACTCAGGAATAAACATTCCAATGCAATTTATTCATACAGCACAATTCATACACAATCTTGTATTTAAGAACCACTTTTAGGAATTTTTGCTTCTCTTTTTTTTTTTAGAGAGATGCGTGTTTGTGGTTGGTTTTTGTTTTGGATCGTTATATCGATCCAAGAGGCCAACAGTGTAACTGTTACTGACTCTGTGTGTTGATTTAGAGGTGACTCTCGGTTTTATTTATTCATTTTGTAAATGTTTGTAGGCTGCCGTACGTTACCAGCCGCGAAGGTCACATGGCGCAGTTTCTGAGCATGATCAGTATCAACAGAAGAACTCCCCTGCCCGGTATCGGTTTGGAGGTAATCACTTGGTATCAACTACCATTTAAATAAGATGATCCTTGAGAAAAGCGATATAGGTAAAGGGCTACCCTTCCTAGGAGAGTGATCCTCAGAGGAGAATCAGATTTGAAACAGAAACACGGAATTAACCCAAACTTCTCAGCATGTGTATTTAAATTCGAGTATTGATGAAAGCGGGAAAGCCGATCAAATCAGGAAACGTAACACCAGGAGGTTATTGGTGAAAGCTGAGAAAGCTACAAACCATTTGGCAACATGGAGAGTAGATCGAGTCCAAATGGGGTTATATTCACAAAGTGGACACACATGCAAAATTCTTTTCATTCTCCGTTATACCTGTTTGTTCGATAACCAAACAACTGCTGTAGGCATAGCCAAGATGCCTTATACTGCCGGCGTCCTTTGAATTTGGAGCAGCGCGATGGAGTGATGAATATGCATTTATGCTAATAATTACGTCACGGACGCACGTTTGTTTAGTACTGGCCAATCGCCAGTCGTACATGCAGGCGCAACACCGCAAAAAGTTTGCACAATATCCAAAGATAAAAATGGAGCACCACATGAACTCGCAGTCTTAAGGGGATACCACTTGTTTCAAATCTTCTCGTTCTGTTCATCAGCATAGTCATCAGCCTGGACAATCAAGAATCTTCTGTGACGTCAGAATCATGCATATTCATCCCTCTGTAGTTGCACTCCACAGGACATGACGTGACACAGGTTTGCTTTGTGTCCACAGGTCTTGGTGGCGCTGTTCCTGGTAGCTATCGGATCGTTCGACACCTTGCTGTACGGCCTGAGCTTCGCGGGCTGGGGATTCTACGGCGCTGCCGTCATGGCTGTCCCCGTGCTTCGCTACAGACTTCCCAACCGGCCAAGACCCTTTAAAGTACTACCACAATCTTCGTTTTCATGCCGAGACACGGAGAGGGGGAATCAAGAGAGTAATGTCCCCTCAGGGTGCTCCGTTACAGGAGGATTCTGCACCTCCCCAATTTTGCACCTACTTTTTAAAAATCAAACAAGTTATAACTTGAAGAACTTTACCAATATACTTTATCAATGTCATTTTGTGATTGTTGCAAAATGGAAAACAAAACCAAACCAAATCATAGGGCTTAGGCAAGGCCCGTTGCTGGGGGGGGGCGTCGTTCCCGGCGAGCAGCATTGAAAGAACCTTTGATTCATGTGATGCACCCGTATAGTTGGTTGCGCTACGGGTTGATGGTCGTCTCACTAACAACGTAGCCCGGCGTACTGTGACGCTCGTTTGATGCAAACCATGGGCACCAATGGCACCCGCAGCCTTTGTGTTGGTCATTGTTATACTGGTATCTCAGGAATCCTTTTCAGACATCAACGGGGACAATAGACTAGAGTGTGTATAGGGATTGGACTTGTGGGGTACCCCTCTGCCCCATTTCGTAGGTGGTATATACGGTGGGCTTAGATGTCCACCACGGCCATTACGAAGGCAATTGCGGCCATACAGCGCCAAGAACAAGCTTTAGGGAGTAAGCAGGAAAAACAAAAGAAAACATACGTCGATCGTTACCCAATGTGAGATCGGTAAGATAACGACTGCACGCGGCATTGATGAGTTATTACGACATTTGATTGTACATGTAATTAGAAGTCAACGTTATGTTGCTGGGCATGCATTTCACAACATATTTTGCTTAATGCAGGACGGCTGATCTGAGAGAAGCCATATTGAAATCTAGAAGGAAATTTCAGAAAGACACCTAAGGTTCTAAACCAAAGGAAAAAGTTTGTATTTTGTCTTCAGTGTGCATTCCTTGTTAAAATTGTTCTCTTCTGACCGCTTGGTGGCAGCAGACATTGGGGGGTTAATACTGAATTTATTGCAAGTACGCACACCAAAACAACTGCTGTCTGATTGATATCTCCCTTTGCTTTCTTGAAGCCTGATCTACTGGAAGTCTAAGGAAACTTAACAACTACCACTAAGGGTTTGGGGGTTTACACAACGTACAGGCTGAAATAAAAGCCAAACACAAAGACCAACTACTCGGCTGTTAATATTTGTCTTTATGCAGGTGCCTATTATTCTTCCGATCCTGGTTTTTCTCTGCTCCTTGTACCTTATTGTTTCGCCGTTTGTCAACGGGCCAGACATGGAGATCGTCTACGCTTCACTGTTTATTCTGTCTGGACTTCTCCTCTACATTCCGTTTGTCCATTTCAAGTATCATCCTCGAGTAATGCGTAAGTGTTTCATTTCTTTCCTTTTGACAACCCTTTCATTTTTTTTTGGTGATGATGGTTGTTTGTTCTTTGTGTTGTTTGCTTTTTAAAATGTGGATCTTCGCAGTTTGCGCAGATGCAATTTTAACAAAGGTTTTTAATGACATCGAAATTCCTTTGTTTTTCCTTTCAAAATTCAAAAGGTTCAATGTTCCCTGCCACCGAAGAAAGTTTAATGTTATGAAAGTGACCGTCATTCAAGTCCGTAATGTTACATAAAGATTTCTTGATCTCTTTTTCGATAATGGCAAACGAGAAAAAAAATCAATTCAGGGTTTCTCTAATGCCTTTTACTTTCAACTATATTTAGACAAAAGACATACGATCCGGATACAGCTAAAGTAGAAGACAGAAACTGACATATTTGGCTGCCCTGCATATGGGATGAACCCCTTTTCTCTTGTCAGGTTGGCTATCCCAGGAATGAGTCTTCGCGCAACGTAGACCCCTGTGGGCGCGCATACATTATGTAAATCACATGATCGATTACCGCTCATTCAGTTTTGCCCCAATTGCAAAAGGCCGTCATTGCGAAGTCAGTAATTTCCAACCCTGTTTATTTTTACAAATTTCAGGTCACGTTACGTTATTTCTGCAGAAGCTATTCGTCGCTGTCCCCTCGGACTACGTGGAACCGGAATAATGACAGGCATTCTATTGAATATTCAGCTTATTATTATTATTTATGTGCTTGACCGGTCTAGTCTTGAATGTGTGTTGAAGACTAGCCCAGTAGAATGGACGCGACTCATGTCTGAGCCGAAGGCAAGAACATTGTCAGCGTTCGTTCTTCTCGGCTAAGCACATAATTTATTGCCATTCATAAAACCGTTGTAGTCAGATAGTTATAAGAAGTCAACATACGATAAATTCCTCAGAATTTTGTTCAGGAATTTTACTTTGAAGTTCATTTTCCCGAACAAACTAGTCCATTTTATGGTATGTTCCTTGCGCAAATTGTCCAGAAGAATCTCCTTATATGGACCTAGCGCGCCCGTGGCGAGTTCTGTGTGCGGCGTCGCACGCAGACTCCTGACCAATAGGGATAGAGTAAACTGTCTCGTATCCACGTGCCAGCGCGTCTTTAATTAAGCAGCAGGCATATTATCAAATCGCATCGGGCATTATTAAATGTTAATTCGCGGTCACGTTCCGCGCTCTTGGTTGGGGAAACTGTCTGAGGTATACAGGAAGGTAGATTTTAGGAGACTTGTAGGTTTTCACGACGGACATGATATTAATCTCCGTTTTTGAGATGTGTGAGAGCAAACAGAGGTTCAAACAACGAATGAGACTGGTGACGAATTTAACACGCAGCTCAAGACGTCCAGTTGAAACAACAGCCTCGTTTCAATACCAGACAACTCAAAACAGAGATTAATGTCCAAAATGTAGATTATTTTCAGAATTTATACCGTTTCAGATCTGAAAACTGGCGTACAACCTTTGCACTTTAGTTCATTATGTGGAAAACCTGCACACTTTTCGTTTGTTTTTTTTTGTGAAACAGCGACATGCACCTGACTTTAAATTTAACGTTCTCTTTGAGTGTATATGTTGATTCTATATTTTTAGGGGTATGCAAGAAGTGCCGTTTGTAATTTCAATCTTTTTCTCTCTGGTAATGTCTTCAGTTTTGTGCGTTGGCGCGACACCGGTAATAATTTTCCATATTAGCGTGCAGTACTTTCATTTAAATTCACTATCATTTCCTCCGTTTTGTTATTTATTTTCTTCCATTTTTATATCCAAAGTAAAACTTACGTTTTCTCGTTTGTCTTCATTTTAAAAGTTCCATTTAGAATTTTCAATGAATTTTAGTGTTACCGTTTATATTCAAATATAATTTTAACCCGTGTGTAGAAAAATGATTATCTCAGTTTTAACATTCTCCCACGGCGATTAAAAATTTACAAAATTACAAATTCAGAATGGGGGAATCGCTAGAAACCTACCTTATCAGTACTTCTCAGATGATATTCCAAAACCTTGTTTTCTTCAAACTGAACGACTTGTGACGAACGAAGCCTTTCGACGTGTAGGCCTGATCGTGTAGCAGATCAGGGTCGGTCAAGGTCAGTCAATGCGGTCTTCGCGTGAACGATGAGACGTGGTTCCTCAACTATGCAGGTCCCCAAATTCCAACTGGTGGTGCATAATATATATCATTTGGATTCAACCATGCTTATTGGTGACATTTATCAAGTTTTAAATCCAGTATTTTTCCGTAGCTGTAACACAAATATATAAATGCACGTGTAAATCAAGTTGATTTCGGAGGTAGGCCCAACGAGGAGAATCAAGACGCGTTTCCATGACACCATCATCCATCGATGGCGACTGCGCGTCTGTAACTTTCCATCCACACAATGTACACGCAGTGTATCTTAAACAAAAGTTGCATACCGTCCCCAGACGCAAGTGCATATTCTTTTACGGGTCGGGGGTTAAAGCTTTCACCTAGCTAGGGAGTGCTGAACAATGGATCACATTTTTCTAACAACTCAAAACATTAGTAAGAATGGACACTCGGTGTTCCTTGAAAACTGGACAACAGTTTTGGGGGAAGGGCGTAGTTTAAGTCAGAGAAACGACTCCAAAGGTGGAACTTCCCGAACACAAAACTGGCTCGGGAGCTCCACCCTCCGCCCATTCGATTAAAAAAAATCGCTACTTCTCTTTGTTTCACTTAATTTCATTCTTTCGTCTTCTTAACGACAATTTTTTCTTTAGCAAATAAAAACTACTTCTGAACACCTAACCACAAAGGAATACCTTTCGAAGTACACGAACAACGCACCATACTACCGACCTCATTTAATAGCATGACACACGGAACGTGGTATTGACATTTAACAGTTATTTATTGATGGCAGATCATTTTAAGACAATTCACACTGGAGTTCCAGCATTTACTTTTAATAGTAATTAACGTCAAGGAGAGTACTGAATGACTTTTGATTTGTCTCTTAACAAGGCCGAAGCGGTAGAGCACAAAAAAAGTGACTGGTGCACTTCAACATTGGTTTATCGCGACACCGTGTAGCACTGGGAACGTGCAAATGGTGTGGTTTGGTAGCCAGACCACCAGATCTGCAACTCCCTCTTGTTACGGCTGGTGACCAGTCTCCAGATGGAGAGTTCTTGACAAGCGAAGCAAGAATGGTGACCGTGCAATAGGCCTATCAACGTAATACCTAGATTTACATTTTACAAACAAGTGATGGACATGTGCTCCATGTATACCGAGCAAGTAACAAACACGTGGTAAATACTTTACCGAACACTCGAGTTAAACTCGGGTCTTGTTCTCCGTGTTCTGCATGCATTAAAAGGACTTCAGCAAACCTGAACAGAGATCGCGTTGAATAATCATCATCGTACAAACTTGGAATTGTAATCTCAAACAAATGCACCACGCCATGGAATTCAATACTATAGCTATAGTTACCACAAAATATCACCCATCGCAATATTATACAACAAAATATACAATTACACTTCACTTTTTCACGACACACTTATTGTGGTATAAATGGGCTGAACCTTTACAACCAAAACGTCACGCGTTTATATTGCGTTAAGGAACAATCGTGTACATTAGATACTTCCCTAATACAAGCACATAGATTTTGTACATACTATGGACACATATAAACTATATAAATGGTTTGCATATTAATACAGTAGCCACAATTTAAGTTATTGCATTTCGTGGGCAAAGCTTAAAACATACGTCAGCAAATAATACAAAAACATGTCATTTACAATATCACCGATCAAGGGATGTGAATGTTCAATATGCTGCACTACTCGAAGACTGTTCTTTGATGTTCTCAGTATTCGAAGTCAATTGTACGTTGAGTCATTTTTCAACGATGAAATGCTTTAAAAACCTGCACTTCTAAACTGAAACTACGCATGATACCAATGTACCTTGGTGTATGTAGAATTGGCTTGTTTGCGCAACGAATGGCGTCCATACGGCACCTACAAATGACCCAAAACAACATTGATACTTCAAGCAAGTGCCTGCCCTAAAAAAACTCCAGCACGAATATGCACGGAATGTAATTCGGTGTATTAGTTCTGGACGCTCTTGCCATGTTCTGCAAAGAATGAGAGAGTGAATACTGTGCTACGCACTGATCAGATTAAGGGTCCAGTATGAGCCTCGAGCTGGACCAAGAGAGGGCGCATTTTTTCTCAGCAACAGAGGCTCCTTTGGCGGAACTGAACTTGGCTGGTTCACGAACGACTACGACGTTACGGTCACATCACCACCAAAATGAACACTCCCGACCAACATCGCTCTTTTCATCCGATGAAGGGATGCTTCTGCTGGAGTCGGATACACTAAGCTGGCAGACTGGTTTGCCATTATTAGGGCTTCTTGTTCTAGTCTGCAGCCAGACCCATAGGGTGCTACGTTGGAACCAGACACCCACCCGACAGCAGGTGTCTGAAACTTTGGGGGGGGGGTATCTATAGGTGGATGAAAACGTTTTGGGTACGATGACAGGCAGTAGGAATCCATTTGTCACATTCATTCTGTATGTTCTCTATCTTCGACCGACAAACGTGTCCATATGTTTCTACAGGTACTCCTGAAGGTTTTTATAAGTAAAATTATACATGCAGGTCAGACTGAATAAGTTTGTCCCTATAATGTAATTTGGCAACCAGCCATATAAGCCATTACTGCGATGGCACAACGCTCGTGGACAGGTGGTACGCGCGCGTCGGCATGCCTCTTCGACCAATAGGATGGTCTGACTTGTCGAAATACACGCGCCCGTCAAGCGCGTGATCTCTTCGGAACAGTCTATTCCTCGAAGTCTAGATCCGTAAGTTACAGCACAGACGCTACACTTGTTGCTATTTTAGTGAAAGTCACATGGGTAAAACTATAGGTGAGACTATAGATAGTATTATATAGTAATGTATAGAAAACGACAAAAAGGCAATAGGATACACTGAGAGAAGATATCCTACCTTCACATGCACACGTTCCATATGTTTAAAAATAGTACTTACACAAAGTACAATGATCAAACGTATTATTAAGGAGCGGCTAGCCACCTGCACCACTAAACGAAGTGGGCACACCATCTAAAAGTTCAGGCAATACCTCAAAGAAAACTTTGGATAAATAATGAATTATAAAAACTTGATACGACAATAACATCATGAATGGCACACACTGAGTAAATAAGTACAACGACCGCTGAGTTCCAACACATGAAAGAAAGTACCAAATTGGTTATCAAAAATTAACAGCGCACACTCATGAAAAAACACAAGACGTTTCGGTGACGTACGGCCACATTATCCAGTTCGTGAGTGAGCTGTCATACGCGCGCACGCGTCACTGACTGGAAGCTCCCATTGGTTGAGTACGAAAAAAACACGTCAAATTCTGGTTCCACGGTTCCGTGTAGCTCTGTGTGCAATGGGTGTGATTCAAACTGATGTGACGTCACACTTACGAACCGGATATTCCTCGAGCAAATGGAAGATTCATACGAATACTAGCTTGTTTTCCTATATCTGCCGAGCATCTGCTACTTACAACGGGAGGCAATGGTATTTCACTCGTTGTACGTATATGAAAGAATCCGTTGAAACAATAATTTAAGTACTATTTTTGTGATCAACTTGTAGAGTAAATAAATTGGGACAGTGAATTACTACGGAGGCTTTTACGACACACATTACTAAGTTCAATATTAAAGGTACATATCATATGGTGTACTTTAAAGATTAGGGTTTAGTAGGAACTGGGAATAAGCATTCATTCTATTTCACACAATACCGGTATCTACGCCTAACTTAAAACTGTCGAGTTAGGTAGACCAAAAAATATCATTTTGATTTTTTCATATTTCTATATCTACTCAATTCATGTATGGAGATACGATTATTGCTTGGTTATAAGTTGACACACACATTTCACTATGGGGTATTTTACCATCAGGTCTATCCCCCAAACGGGATATCACAAAAGGGGCAACTTCACATGTTAGTCATAATTACAACAGGGAAATGATTACATCTTTGGGGGAAAACCGATCAGTACTTTTCTTTACTCACAATTTTCCCCCAAACTAAACATGCCCCAAAAAGTTTCATTTATATAAACTAGCATGGCCTCTGGCGCTTGCTGTACAGTGCCCACGTGCTGGCACAGTATGCAAGTTCAAGTTGGCCATCGTGTAGCTTTTGAACTGCACGTTCTTCTGTCTAAACAGAAAAATTGATGAATAATGCTAAATATCCTGGATCCTACAGTTCACAGTATTATCACTTTTCTTTAAACATGTTCACCAACCATTCTCAAACGAGATGAAGTGGCTGAAGTAGGTAAGTTTGATGGTTGACAGTTCCTCTTCACCACTCTTGATTTCCATACTTCAAAGTGATCGAAAGTGAAAGATATCTACAGAAACCTTTCGCAGCTATGGAAGATAAGCATTGTGGAATGTATATTGTTTCTTTGTGTAATGGTATTATTTTTCCAGACAATAACGTGAACATCTTCGGCCCGGATTTGGAACGGTGGGTCACATATTGGAACATTTTTTAAGCATCTGGCCCAAGGCAATCCGATATCATGGTTAAACTATTTCAAAATGTGAGCCGTGGAATGATCTGTAGGTTCGAGTGAAATTCATCCACCAATGCCACAACTGAAATACCTGAGTGGACAAGTACAAGATATAACCTTTTAGGCGACTTTTTGCACGAAATCTGATCTTGCTTCAAGCAGTGTTGCAGTTATGACCTCTTAAGATCACGACAAGACTTCTAGTCTGAATCCAAGTTCCAAGCCATTCAAATGAACTCGAACAAAAGCATTCTATAGAGAAAGTTCGATCAAGGACCACAGTTAACCAGAGTTCGACTATCTCTCATCGACTATCTCTATCGCACTGTAGTCGACGATGGTTGGACTAGGCTAGTCAACTATTCGCGACCAGCTTACCGGGAGTGGTCGCGTCGTTGGTTGCCATAAACTATTTTTAATAGCGCAGTGCAGAGAGGACCAGTTATAAGAAAAATGCCGGAAAACAGTATTTCACTAATAACGACCACTTTCAATTTGGCTTTTTACCCTGCCTGCAGCCACCTTTGATCTCCTTCGGTCTAACGACCTGACAACGGTTGACTAGGGTCGTTCGCACTTCAACTTCACTGCACATGCGCTAGGTACGTCATGAATCAACCACTAGTTAACTAGGGAACCTTGATCGAACTTGCCCCTGGTCACTGTTCACCCGGCTACTTGCGACTGGTCTCGACTACAACACTGGCCTTAAGGCAGCCATATTAATTTTTTTAATAGATTTTAAATCTCCTTAAGATAGGCCTTTTGTATGAGACACAGTTTAAGAAGGCAAAGATTTGATAAGCCGTAAAACGGATACCTCCTTTTCATTCTCCTAGTTGATGCAAAATATGAATAAATGGTTCCCCTCTGAACCAGGGATTCCTGTCCATTACAATTTTGGAATTCATTCATCCAAAATCATTCACAAAAACTGAATTACTCAACTCTCACGACTTGACAACCTTCTCCTGCAATAAAAATAGTAAAAAGAATGGAAAATGCAGGTTTTGTCTTAAAAAATGAGCTTAATACCAAACTTTTTAACAATACTGACCAAAAGACAATAAAGAGCATAACCCGGCACTGTCACAAAAAAGTTAATATAAACACGTTTAAATAAAAACACCTGTTAAAATCTAATTTAGCCAAACGCAGAACTTTTCCTTTTGCAATCAACAAATGTTTACAAACATGATTGGAAAAAGAGGAAACATTCGTTGAAAACTATTTTTTAAAAAGCCACGGTTCTATTTGTGAACTGACTATGGGTACTGCACAATAATGGGACCAGCAGTTCAGCGTGGCAGGTACTGTGCTCTTCCGACAAAACTGGAACAGAACTGGAACGATGATTAAAGGGTGATTGACACTTGTAAACTGATTGGTAGAGACTGTTCAGGCAGACTGTGCGACCATGCGATATCATCTCGCCGTCTTGAAGGAGACCAACCTTCCTTGCAAGTTTCATAATAACTAATGATTCTGTCTCACTAAATCAACTGTAACTGTTTTTCACATCAAGTTCTTTCAAAACAAATTTATGGGCTCAGACATAGTTTTTCTTACATATGTAATTTAAAATTATGGTTCAGTATTTCTGATTTGCAATCTCGTTCAAAAAGAAAGCTTTGTCCTAATCTGCAAATGTTAATTAGCAGAAACACTTTTACTCCCCATTTCAATGGGTAAATGTCCAGTCAATTAATGTATTCATAGTTCTGAGACACATGTCCGTCTAAAAAGAAGCACTGACTATGAAAGACCCGTCTCAGCTGTTCTACAATTGCAGAGCCAGGAGTCACCTTTTTTTAAAAATTGTGCAACTGTCTTTCCAGGCAAGACTGGGCAATAAGGATGGAGTAAAAAAAATACAAATCAACTTTTTTCATAAGCCCTGTACATAAGTAGCAACTCAACTACAACAATCATATTTTTTCGGTTTTTACTCTTCGCCGTTAGTGCAAGGGCATTTCCACAGTTGGTCAGGATCAACCATTATACAGTAAAGTCTGGTATCTAACCTTCCCTTCACACTCTAAGTATTGTGGGTAACCTGGGACCAGTCCACCTTTACAGCTGGCTAAGTTAGATCAGGGACAGTCTGTCAACCACAGGTCAATTGTCCTTGGTAACAAGGCACAGAATATGCCCTGGGTACCAGAATGGATCAGCTGTTTGATCAAAGGTCGTCACTTGGACTTGCCCACTGTGGACAAACTGGAGAGCACCCTCTGCCGGTCATGCACAGGTAACATGACACCAGTCCAAGCACGATACCACTCTACGCAGGTCACCCACCTTTCCCATATGTCTTCATCACTGGCTTCAGGCTTAATGTCTTGAGAGTCTAGTCTCCCGTGTCAAGTTCTATGCAATCTCATCACCTGCTCTAGTGAGGCTGAATGCCAGGTCCAAGTCCAAAGTGTTCTGATTTATTTCCAACTAGGAAACAAGTGAAACTAATTAGAAAGTCAGAGGTGGATTCAAAGGCAGGAAAAAGGCCATGCATGTCTACTATAACAGTAAAAAGAAAAAATGTCAAGCGCCAGTTGTCGCTCAAAGATCCCTTTGTTAATGCCCAGAATATTCTACAATCTTTTTTAACGTCTTTCACCAATGGGGAGTTTTAACGATACGGTTCTGCCTAACCGTGGTTACATCTCAGGTTGTGTCTATCACTACCCTGACTTTGAAGTTCACAGCTCCAACGGCCCATTATCAACTCAAAGATGGAGATATTTACAAGTTGTTTAAATTGAAGAGGCCTTCAAGTGGCTTTGATTTTAGAGACAAGGTCTGTGAAAGCAACAAAGCTGAAATATGGAAATATCCTGATAACAGGGCATCAGGGGTTGTAAGCAGGGTTCCTACAGAATTCTAAAAACAAAATTCCATGACATATCCGCAATTTTCCCAGGCCAAAATATGACGATTGTCATGACATTTGATGCCCTTTTGCAGGGAAAACTTGTGTGGTATTGTGAATGGAAGACTGCCAAAGCCAAGACTACAGACTGACTACAATAGCTTGTCAAATTATCATTATTTCATTTTCACAACAAAAGTGGCCTATCAAAAATAACCCTTGGATGATCTTGATTTCTGTGACTTTTTGATGACTTTTCTGACAACAGGTTTTCAGGACAACGTACTTTTCTGCAAATTTCTGTGACTTTTCGGAACGACTTGTTTTCCAGGATTTTTCATGACTGCGGGAACCCTTGTATTTTTATTTGAAGCTTGGAATGGGCAGGTATAATCACCGACTGGGCCGGATTCAGTCAATCTTGGCGAGGTACGCCGAGGGCACGTAGCCGCGCTGCCCGTTCTTGTCCACCAGCCACCACTCCGAGTTGCCCTCGATGTCCTGGTCCGAGATCAGCTGGACCACATCCCTCTCGGTCAGCGTCAGCTCATTCTCTGCCGACGCCGTGAACTCCCACTCCGCATAATAATACTGCAAAAGCCGACAAAAAAATCATCAGATGAGATTTGAAGTTTTTTCTGGTGAAGGTGGCAAGTAACAGCTTTGCAGTACCACCATTCGGAATATCTCTTTGTCGAGTATGTTTGGTTCTTAAAAACCCTTAAGTTCCCTTGATTTGGATCCTGTTCTGAAAAGAGCCTTAAGTGCCCTTGAGTTGGATCCTGTTCTGAAAAGAGCCTTAAGTGCCCTTGAGTTGGATCCTGTTCTGAAAAGAACCTTAAGTGCCCCTGAGTTGGATCATGTTCTGAAAAGAACCTTAAGTGCCCCTGAGTTGGATCCTGTTCTGAAAAGAACCTTGAGTGTCCTTCGTTGGATCCTGTTCTGAAAAGAACCTTAAGTGCCCCTGAGTTGGATCCTGTTCTGAAAAGAACCTTAAGTGCCCTTGAGTTGGATCCTGAGTTAGCATCCTCTTTACATCTCACTGCCTCCAGACTGCTTCATCACTGAAACCCTTGCAGTCTCCTGACGATGGACAGAGCATGCTGTTTGAACGTTGAGTACCCTCTGGTTCTTTTCAGAACCACTCATACTCACAAAGGAGATATTTTGCATGGTGATACAGCAAACCTATTTAAAAATTATCAAGCTTGCTTGTTGATGCTTTCCTGGTTTCATGTAGCATGCTGCATGACTCCTACTGTATATGCTCTAACCCTCATACATGACAGTTGTCTGCATCATGTAGGTATGTGCAATGGGCCATGCGCTGGACCAAGAGAGGGCGCCGTTTTCTTAGTAACGGAGGCTCCTTTGGTTGGAACTGAACTTCTCGGGTTCAGAAACAACTAAGCAAATCCATCGCCACCAACAAATTTAGCACTCCCGACCAACGTGGGTCTTTTCAACCAATGAGGGGGTGCTTCTGCTCGAGGTGGATATAACCAATGAGTCTGCATTTCATAGAGTTGGAATTTCAAAATAAGGAGATGGGTTGCCTACGTGAGGCACATACCATAGTTTGTGGGGTATTTCACAAAACAATAGGTGATACTGAACAAAATTCAGTTTGAAATATACAAATTTTGCCTTCTTCATATTTTTTTCACCGGAGCAGGTATTTTTGAATGGGAATAAAAGAGCAGCGGCTCGATTCAAATAGGTACGTTTACGACCAGCTAGGGGCGTGACATTGACTCAGTCTATCATTATCTCTATGCCCCTATTTGGTGTTGAACATGCCAACCTAACCCCAATGATTCCCTTATTTTAATATCTACTAAAGCACAGCGCTTTATTTTCTTGGACATAGGCTGTGATAACAAGCACGGATTGACAATGCTAACCTGCGCTTGCTGCTGCATTCGAGTGAATGCATTCCAGTCGTCGTCGCTGCCGTAACCTTCCGGGCTCGTTGTCTCTCCGCCCACAGCTTGAAGGATAGAGGACGGAATGAACCCTTGGGATGCTGAGACAGGGGAAAGAAATAAATACTTAGTCAAATTTGAAATGTTCTTATAGTTTTACAGTTGAGTTCCAGTTCAATTTGGGTTTCTTGTTGGTGTTCCAAAGAAGGGTACTTTGCATAATATCATGCACTGCTTTTCCTGAAGCTGGAAATCGGTAACAGTCATCACATCGCCATTCACGCCATTCAAGACAGTGATATGGTTCTCTATGCTTCCCTGGATGTAGAGATGATCTGAGCACTTTTTTCTTGGCCCAATGAGCAGGGGTAATAGTGACGACATCACAAGTGAGTGCTTCAATTTTAGGATTTCCTACAAGGAATTTTCTGTGACAACGAATTTAAGTAACTTCAGTTGCTTTTGTTCACACAAAAAAGCTTGAAATGGCCTACGGAGGTTAAAAATCTGGAACCAATGACTCGAGGGGAATCATTTGTAAAGTTCTACTGGGTATGAACGGACCATGCCTCTGGTATCTTGTTCATTCAAATAGTCAGAATTTGCCATGAAACAGTCTTGCCATCAACAAGTTCACCGACAGGAACAAAAACTGAAAGGCATTAATTCAATTTCTCAAATTGCTTGTAAAATCCAACAAACTATTGCTGAAAGTCGAGTCTTTTTTGATTACCAACCTCTCTGCCAAATACTGACATGGTCACAAGGCAACAAAGCTGAACAACATGGGCACTGGATATTAAATGAACAAAGGTTAAATTACAGACTAAAAACCAGACCTCGGACTCTCCCAATTCAGTAAAAATTACGTTTCAAGCAGGAAAATACTCAAAAAAGTACTTGGTCAAGTGCTTTGAAGCACTCTTGCTCTCTTTTTTTTTTCAGAACAAAAGTATTTCAAAGTACTTAGTGTTGTAATCTTTGAATTTTGAGATATTTATATTGTTTTTTGCTAAACGGTGATGGTTTAAAACTTTTCAGCTTTGTTCTGTCTTAACCAGTCTAATAGTTAGCAGTGAAGTTGGTACTTAAAAAGTACTCGATTACAACATTGCAACATAACGGAAACCCAGACACAATTAGACTTACCTCCGTTGTCGACGTACCACTTCTGTCCGCTTCCCGTCGGGTCCTGCTCTTTGATGATGCCCACGATTTCGCCCTTCTTGACCGACATGTCCATTGGCTGCTGGGCACTGAAGTCCGTGGACACCAGGTAGATTCGGTTGGCAGGGTACCGGGAGTTGACGCTGGCTTTTTGCTTCTCAGACTGTGAGCTGGGATCTGGCCTCTGTGATATCAAGAAACGAGAGACCTCGTGTGTGACTCATGGTCCATGATCTCCCATGTTCTTTCCCTGACAAACCTGGTCCATGCTAAAACTCTGAAGTTTTCTTGTTCTGTTTGTTTTTTTTCCCAAGAGCAAATTCGTCATACTAACTACAGTGGAACGCTGCTATACCGAACACCGCTACACCGAACATTCAACTGTACCGAACATTTGGCTGTACCAAACATCGTTCTTGGCTCCCAATATTTTGTGCACAAAAACCTAACGAACATTTTGCAGTTGCAAATCAACCGAGATTTGCCACAGCATGCATAGCTTCATGACTTTTAGGATAAACTAAATATCAATTTTGTAACTCAAGATTTAATAAAATACAAAAATGATTAACAGATACATTTCTAGAAACCTCAAACATGAATGCAAAGGCAAAACATCACAAAAACAGTGAATCATAGTATCACAAGAGGGCGCACTTCAGTTAGACAAGAGAGGGCGCTATTTAACATGGCAACGAAACGTTCTGCAGTTAATTTCGCTATACCGAACAATTGCTGTACCGAACATTAAGCGTGGACCCCGTCGTGTTCGTTATAGTGGTGTTCCACTGTATGTCTAAAAATGCACTGCTTTTTGTTACAATTCTGAATCTAATTTCAAACACCAAAAACAAAACCCCGGTAATTTTTCCGTTTTTCACTTCAGCTACAACCAAGTTTAATTTAATGACATTACATTTATTTCCTCCTCACGGCAAAATAAAAGTGGTAACAATGTTGGAGATAGAATGTGATCGTTGTTAAATGGAGTGGTGTCAGACTATTGTGGTGTCCCAAACTTCACTTACAGGTTTTTTTTAACCGTGGCCTTAACATTTTGATATAATAAAAAAAATTTTTAAATATTCTAAACAAAAACTTGCATGAATTTGTACAGAATTTTACTTATGCCCATAGAAACTTTAAATCTCAGGTTCCCAAAATGAAAAGCTTTACCTGACTTTCAACTCAAAATGGCTGACCCATGAATAAAATCTCGTTTACATTTTCCGAATTTTGCACCGCACCATCAAAAAGGTTTATAAAGAGAGAGAAACAGGAAGCTGAATTACTACTTCTTTTTGGGCCCTACACATGAAATGAACGAAATGAGCCATGACTCACTGGTGCGCTAGGTGGCGGTGTTGGCTCTGAGTTGGTCCCGTATGCCGTTCGCCGGTCACTCTTCTTCATATCAAGACTCTTAGGGACGAAAGAAAACTTGTGCATGCCTTCAATGGCCACTAGGTGCGACGTTTCGAAAGTCTTCATGATGTCTACGGTTGAGTTGTTTTTAACGATGGACAGCTAATGCAGAGAAACAAAATCCTTCGATTAAAATGTGACAGACATCAGGAGTTTTGCAGTCATTTTGGCCACAATTTTTATGGATATTGGGCAATTTGCATGAAATGTCCACTTTTCAAAGGCAGGCTTGTTTAACTGAAAATGTTGATATTTCCCAAAGCCATGCTAAATTCACGAGCAGTCACGCATTCATGAGACCATGAACCATACATGACCACCACAATAAAAGCCTTTGTTTGACTGCATTGAAATTTCACAGATACACTCTGAATGAAGATCTCTATATGTATATCAAGTTTCAAAAAGATTGGTCCAGGGACGGTCAAGATCCGGGGGGGGGTCTGCCAACCCCAAGCAGTTACAAGGTCCAAAATACCCAGCTCCTTTAAGAATCAATGAGTTCACACAACAATTACACAATGTATTATGGAAACCGGGTGTCTCATTTGACTTCACATGCTTCAGTAGCCTCACCTCCAGCAGTGGATAAAGTTTCTTGAGAGTGGAGTTAATATGATCTCTCTCGGCTTCAACAAACGACACCACGCAGCTCTTGAAGAGAGACAAGCCCATGTCGCAGAGTTTGGGCAGCTCGTCCTTCAGCTGAATGTTCAGGGCTTCGTAGTTCTTCCGAGCGACGTCCTTCTCATCCTTGAGCTGGGTGAGTGAAATCACATCAGTTCCAATCAATACCGAATCGACTTTAGAGAATCAGATTTAGGTTACAATCTTTGGGTGAGGTTGAAAGGAGTTTACCTCAATCAGTCTGGAATGCAGTAGGAAAAGCTTCGGGTAATGAGGGGCAGTGTTGTATTTGAGTCCATCGCAAATCAACTACCCCACAGTCAAATCAAATGCTTCTTAAAACAACAAACTGTGATGAAAGTGTTCCTTTATCACTGTTAATCCTCCATCCTCCCCAGTTGCTTGAGAGTGGACTTATAAATTGACCAGTCATTTACAGGACTGTGACGGTGGGAACAGGCCAAACACGCCAAGTTTAAAACGGGAGTTTTGTCCAGAGTGATTCTGCAGACTTCCTGAAGTGGCATCGCACCCACAGACAGACGGTGCTGCATTTTTGTGCAAACTCCAAACACCAATATTAACCATTCTCTCAATCCTTTTATGTCACAACCATAATTTATCTTTAGTTGACTGGTGGCCGGCCGTAAGTATAAAGCAAAAGAACAATCCATGCGCAGCTATAGAGATACAAAGTAATAAATACCATTGCTACCCACTCGCTGACAATACAACCGTCTTTGCAAACAATGTGGCAAATGTACATTTCGGGACAAAACTTAACACCAACCAAGAGTAGTGCATGTAAAGCAGACTTTGACCAACCACACAAAAACTTGGCAATATGACAGAGGTCTGTTGGTTGAAGTGTCACTGAAAGATGGTCCGACTGTGGTCTTGTTGAGTCCAGTTGAAGTGAACGTGGCTCAAACTTTGGTTTGCCAGACTGGGTCTGACCAACCGACTGAAAGTCCAGAGTCAAGCGATTCCTTTCTAATCAAATCAATCCAATCTAATCATATCATTCCGATCTAATCAAATCAATTCAATTTCAAAATCATGCAGCAGTGCGGTCTTTAAAACACATGCTTGAAAGGGAAAAACAAGACACAAGTACGACTTGAAAACATTTCATTAGAATGCATCCAACCACTAAAAACATTTTCCACTAAAATTTTCTGTTCTGAAAAACCTTGGCAGAGTTTTAATAGCAGTAGAGTCCTTAACTCTACAGCCCTGAATGCTTCAAAGTACTACTTGGTAGTAAAATCTAGCACACAACGCTGTCGCTTGTAAGAGGACATGACCTTATTGTTCTCTGAAGCCATAAAATACAATAGATAAGACAATGTACCATACAGTGCTGTGGCACTATGAATGCATGGCTTTACTGTTCTCTGTATGAGTAACAATGGAGGGTGCTCTAGCCAGAGGTCGTGCTTTGTAGCGCTAGGCTCTTCACGCTCTGACTACTACGTAGTATTTTGCAGTACTGAGTACTGTAAGCCAAACGATATGCATCACTGGTAGGGTTAAAACAAGCCCAGTTTAGTAATGTGGATAGCCATGTATAGCTTGGGGCAAAATGGGGGGTAACACTTGGTAAGCTAACAGGAAAAACATAAAAACTGCATGAGCTTTCATAGCAACAACTGCTGGTGGCAGCATGTCGCAACATGCTGCCACCAGCAGTTGTTGCTATGAAAGCTCACAATCTTGGGCTAGTCAATTTACCACCGTGTGCCTCTCTCCATCTAGGAGCAAACGGGTACCTGTGAGGGCGATATGGTTATGTAATAGCCGTGTGCCCCTGATAGGACTGCATCAGCTAGTAAACTCCCCAGGGAGCTGAGATGGTTTCAGGAATGTTCGGTTGTCGTGAGCCCAATGCTTTGGGATAATGATAATGCCCCTTGAGCATCAGTTGTGATGGATATGTGCACTGGATATAAATATCCACTATTATTAGCCTCAGAGGCAAGCATTGAACAATAGCAGAGGAATGCTTTTCTTACTGCTGATTTGAATAGCTTGTGTCTTGGCTTAAGACTTGTGACCGACTTCTAGCGACTTGTGGGCTTGACTTCAACACTTCTCAATCGGCAATTATTCATGCAATAGTCACAATACACCATGCAACAATACAAGCAAAATCATCAGCCACTTTTATCTACATTAACATCAAACTCATAAAACAAGCATAAAAAAAAACTGGCACGTTAAACATGTACATTAAATTTCAGTCTCAAGATCTGACGAGTTTCAAAAATTTGACTGCACAGACCTGGACTTCAACTTGCACAGTATGGTATCACTAACAAATGGCAAAGTGCAAACCGAAAATTCAAAATCGCACGTCAACACTGGTAACACGAATGCAATCGGACAATGCCCGACTACACGTACAATCTATCGGCACAACACCACAACGTAATGGCGGGGCGGGGAGGGCTTCGTTAGGTGGTGGGAGGGGTGACGAATTCCAACCTCCTTCCGGGGTTTCTCCTTCAGCCGTTTGTGGCTGCCGACTGACGTGGCGTCGTCGTCACTGTCCTCCAGGTCCTTCTCCTTGCTTTTGTGCTGACGGTGTTTAAAAATCAAGCTGGCTGGTTTGAAATTTCTTAGAAAGTGTTCATAGGACACACAAAGGAACGAGCTGGGGCATAGACAGAGGGGGGAGGACAGTTATTAGGGGAGGGGCATAACGTAACACCCCTAATTTGTAACCAGATCCACAGAATGCATCTTACAGTCAATACTTTTTTGATCATTTGGTTTTAGCTTATATTGGAAAGAGCAAACAGCCGTTTGTCTGGATGTTTCATTCCCGCCTGGCATCCTGAGGAAAATGTACATTATGTGGCTGGAAAATGATGAGGGTTCCTGCTGATTTCCATTACGCAAGATTCTTTTAAAGCCCTAAGACTCAAATGCTGCTCTGGTGACTCGAACTCACTTTGTTAGGTTTCGGTCAAATCTGTCATTTTCTGGGCAAAATTAACACTAAAATGCCATTCTTGTTTGCACATTTGCTGTTATTTTCTCAGAGTTTTGTCAGAAAACTTTTTTGGGAAGAGAAAGAGTGTAAAAGGTTCATGAAGGAAAGAACTAAGCTGCGTGATTCAACTGTTGTCTTAGAACGTTAACGGGTTGGAGAGAAAGAAAATGAGATCCACAGATTTTTAAACTAACCTGTTTGACACGATCTTTATCCTTGTTCTTTTCTAGCTTGTTGCTGAAGCTGTCGTAATCGAGGAGCTTGTCATATCTCTTCTGGATCAGCTTGTGCGGACCTTGGAACATGATCAGCAGACCGTTGAGTGGAGATATGACCCGTTGTTGAACAAATAACGTCTGCTCAAGATGGAAACGGAGAGAATCAAGTTCTTCTTAAATATTTATAAAGCTCATTGTTTATTTTAAAAACCACAAGTCAAAAGCTTGCCGACCCTACACAAGACCCTCTCTGTCATTTTGGGTGTGATCGATTAGCTTCTCTGAATACACCAGTGTTACACGCAAGGGAAGCCTCGAAACGAGGCTTATTGAACGCTGCAGTGTACTCGCCAAGGCATTCTGGGAAAAAGGTCAAGTCCCCGCCACGTTCCATCATGTCCATGCTTGATATGAACAGTCCATGCTTGACGTCATTACATTCGGGCAGCCTCCAGAGACCCGCTCGCCAGCCGGGGTAGTGGTGGCTGACACTGGGCAGGCATGAAGATCACATGATGGCTAAATGAATACTCTCGTGTAAGTTTGACTTACACGTGTAAGCCAATCGAACCCACCCTTTGGAGGACATAAGGTAAGCACATAAAGTTTTGTTAAACTACATCATCCAATAGCCACTCTACAAGATTGCGTCCTGGTTTACCGGTAGTTTGGTTTGATTCAACTCACATTGTCAAAAACTGACCCCATAACCAGGAGTCACCAATTTTAACCACTAGGTCACAAGACTGTTTCTACTCTCTGCCTTGAGCAGAAGCACCGCCTCGTTGATTGAAAGGAGCCATGTTGGCGGGGAGCGTTCATTTAGTTGGTAGTCGTGCAAGCACAATGCATGAAGTTCATTGTCGGTTGTGGACCAGCTAAGTGCAGTTGTAACCAAAGAAGCCTCTGTTGCTGGGAAAATTGCACCATCTCTCTTGGTCCAGCTTGGGGCTCATTAGATCAGTCACTGGTTGTCAACTTACATAATCTTTGTAGAGTTTGTTGGCTAGGTGTCGCTGCACGGCTTCGTATTTGTTGACTTCATGCAGGTTGGATTGGCTGGCGTAGTAGTCTGAAATGTCACTGCCAACGGCTGCCTCGGAGGACGTGGCATCCTGGGAAAAAAAAACGAAAATTCTGGCATAGAATCCATAGACCATAGATCATAGATGTAAAAAAAAAACCAGCCCCCAGTGTTCTGTATTAACCACTTGCTGCTGGGTGTAATTTGAAGTTGCATGACATAAAGCCGGATGATTTTGAAGATTTTCCATTTTCAAAATACTTCAGAAAATCATAGCTTCGTTTACAGGACGTTTTCACCCACACAAATGACTGTCTGGTGGCTACTTTAATCTGACAGACAACATCTATTGGCATCCGAGTATTTCAGCCAGGCCTGCTGCCTTGATTATGTGATGTTACGTAATTTCCTTTTGTTCCTGAAATTGCCACAGTGCTTAACTGGTGTCTTTTCAATAGTGCTGGAGCGCTTCTGTCCCTGGTTTTAATCTGCTCACGCTGAATGACACAAACAGTGATATAATCTTTCCAAACAATGACAGATTTCATCCGCTCATGACAACTGAAAAAATGTTGACAATTCCCATCATCTCGGTCTTTGTTCCGAGTACGGTCTTTGTTACAAGGCTCATCTCTTTTGTCCGATTTCGGGCTCCCCGACTGTACGTATAAGGAACACGTACCCGAAACCGGGCTCCTCGGCAACATACGGTTAAGGGTTGTGAGTACAAGAGAATCCCTGACCTTGAGTTGTTCTAGGTAGGCGTTGATGTCTTTGACATAAATCCTGATGGTCTTCTCCAGGTTGCGGAACCTTCTCTCCATCTGGTCAAATTCCCCATCAACGGTCTGGAATCAAAAGGGTTGGAAAATCGAGGAACAGAAGTTAAATAAAGGGTGACTTTTGTCCCAATCTTGATCACGCCTGAAGCATTTTTGTCAGCTTCTTAAAAACTCTGACCCTTAAAAACTCTCTCCCTCCATAAAAACGAACAAACAGGATTTGAATCGTCACTTTTACTTTGTTCAAGAGATGTCCATCTATGGAGGACCAATTCCTAGAGGCGAAGACGATTTCATCCAAATTTCCATATCATTTCACTCAAATTAATATATGGATAGCTGAAGTTTCTAGCATCCTTCACCCAGAATTGCTTTTCTCTTTTGTTTTTTGTTGATGACACACCTGACTAGATCTTACAAAATGAGTATTAACGTCTTTTCTTCAGCCATACTGGTTAAAAGTGCATCAATACAAGCTTAGTTTGCTGCTTCTAATGCAAATTTAACCTGCATCACTGAAAAAGAGCTTTAATACTCATTTTGTGAGACCAATCCATTTGGTATCCCAGTGTAAATAGACATTTTGTGGTAGGAAAACGTTAAGGGTTCCTATAGGCCTCAAGTGGGACCAAGAGAGGGCGCTGTTTTCTTTAGCAATGAAGGCTCCTTTGGTACCAAACGGCACTCTGTTGGTTCAGGAACGATTATGAAATGTACACATCACGGTTGCATCCCTATCAACAAAATGAACACTCCTGACCAACGCGGCTCTTTTCAACCAATGAGGGCATGGTGCTGCTCGAGACGGATTGATTAATCAGAAAGATCACTTGAAAGGTTTTCAATTTAACAGTCCATGTAGCTCTGATGATTTTGGGCTGATATTCTTCAAGTGTTTTCTCTACCTGTGTTGTAAGACCCGTCATCTGAGTAAATCGTTGATTGATGCGTTGCGATTTCTTCCGTATCGAATGCAGACTTATTCTGCCCAGCTTGTCAGTGATTGCCTCTTGCCCTGGCCGTCGGTACTTCATCACTGAGAAAAACAAAAGCCAAGACAAGCTTTACCACCTAGAAACTAACACTCTTGTCATTTCCTCTTATTCGACGGCTCCTTTCAACCTTTTCCTCGGCTCTGCAGTTTTGCGGTTTGTTTCCCAAATGGCTAAGAATTCTGCAGCAGACGTACAGTTAACAGAACAATGGATGTGCATTGGGGTTAAAGTCAGCCATATTGAATTGAGAGCGAGGTTAGCCATTTTATTTTGGCACCTAAAAATAAAAATGAAAGCTCCGAAGTAAAACTTCATTACATATTTAATGTCACTTGTGCTGATGAAGAATTTAAAAATTTGTGATAAATTATATTTAAAAGTTGTAAGCAACATTCACAAAGAATGAAAGCGAGGCAGGGAACCCAGAATAGTCTGGCACCATCCCATTTGTCAGATTGCCTTGAATAAGATAAATTCTGGGAACACAACTTTTCACTCACTGCAACTTACGGAGTTGCAAATTTCCCTGAAGTTGCCAATAACCACAAATCTCTATGTTCTGTTGAATAAAACTCTAGACTTACCTAAGTCCTTTCTCCTCTTGAATTCATTAATGGCTGTGGCTACTTCTGTCATTGTTTGTATGGCTTCCTGTAAGTTGGGCTTGTCAGGAAAACTATCATCAGAATACTGCAGCAAAGATAAATATTAAAAGAAATCAACTAACACACGATGGTGGCCTTAAGTAAACACAGGGTTACTCTTTGCTAGGGAAATGAAACTCCTTTGTTTATGTAATTTACAAACCAAAACCCAACCAACCCAATTCAACTCAACCCAGGTAACCTTACTCAACCCATCACAACCCAACTCAACCCAACCCAGCCAAGCCCAGCCCAACCCAGCCAAGCCCAACCCAACCCAATCCAATTCAGCCCCAATAGATAAACTGTACCTTGTCAAGTTCAGCAAGAAGGAGTTGATACTTGAGGATTCTCTGGACTGGTTTGATAAGAAACGATGCCAGATCCCAGCAGTTGGTACTCTGCCTGCCAAAGAGACAAGAAGAACTTCATGTACACATATATAAACCACAAACATCAATTCTGTGAACAACCTTCACTCATCCAATCTTACTATAAACCTTTCAGCCTTTCCACACAACCTTCTTTGTGATTGAATTCTTATATTCAAAAGAATCCTAGATCCATCAAACATCCTGCAACCTCCGAATAGATTCTAAGAATACAGGGTCCAAAGATTAAAGGACTTCTCAAAACAGTCTTCTCCAGGGTTAATTTCAATTGATTCAAGAGGGCTTAAAAAGGCAAAGGAACTCGGCAAAGTAAACAGAATTTGAGAACCAACAAAATGGTTCAAGGTTTTTAAACGTCTTCTGGCCTGCTCTTACCTGACAAGTTCTAGACCCTGGTTGATGTACTCCTGAACTTCATCGTTCTCTTCGTACTGAAATTATAGAAAGAGGAGAAACAAAATCTCCAGAACTTCTCCTGCAGTGCTGTAATTCTCAAAGTTCCATGACATAACTGGGAAGGTTGCCAAAAATTGTGAGTTTTTTGGTACCTATTTCATACCTTTTCAAGTAATGCAGTTGCATCGTCATGGTTACGGCAATACTCTGCGTAGACTTTGTGCAAGTCGTTGCTATACCGCATGAACACTTGACCTGAAAGACACAAAAGAAACCAATCACTAAATATATCAAAGATATCCTATGCCCTGTCTTGTTCCAACATCGTAAATTCAACATTTCCAACACTGGTCCTTTTCTAGTACAATCCAACCGCACTATTTGGGTTACCATAAAAAACATCAATGTGAGTTTTTACAATTTCGTTTTCACAGATCAATATGTGGTCAATCGTTCTGCCATCGGCTGATCGATCCTCTTTTGCCTGATAGTCCACGGCGGTGGGAGATTGTTTTGAAGTAAAAAGGAAATGAAAAAATTATTGGAATCAAGTGATTTAAATCAAACGACCGTGGCCGCAACTCTGTCTACCAAAACCTCGTCGATAAAGCGGAGTCAAGTTGGTGCAAGAGAGGCAGGTTAACAGAGGGGTTCTTTCCTCACCTTTCACCTCTGTGGCCAGGGTTCGAATCCCGGCTCGGTAAGAGTGGGCATTGTGTTTTCAGTCCCGACCTCATTTCAAGGGTTTTACCCAGATTGTTCCTCTGGGATTTCCCTCCCACCTCTAAAACTGTAGCCACTTCTCACTGTCCCCTCTCTACAGGTTTCTAGATTGCCAGCTACAGTGCCTAGGGTGTTTTGGAGGATTCCTTGGTGTCATTACCAGAAAGATAACTTCCTCACCCACTAGCTGCTCCTCCGGCATCTTCCCTTCCGTTGTCTCTTCCAGGTCTTTCAAGAACCTCTCGGCCGTGTCAATCACCTGCTCCATATTCCCAAACAGAATCTCCAACTCCAGACCTTTAGTCTATAGGTCAAAGGTCAACAGGTAGGTTGAGAGGTTTGTAAACAAACTGGACAGGCATTTAGAATGCACTTTTAAAGACGACCTTTGATATATTCATCTGATACATTGGTTTTATGATTTAATGAAGCCAATCCTGACAATCTGGTAAAAAGTTTGTTACAAAAAAGGTTAGGGTTGAAAGGTCAAGACGACATACGTGTCATTTACAAGACCACCATTTGAAACATGCCGATCAAAAAAAAGCCATTTTCCTACACCTTGATCTTGACGTCATATGTAGGAGTTTATAGAGCTTAATAGGCATTAGGGGAAAAAAAGCAAAACATGTAAAAATCAAATTTACATGTGAAATCTCTGTGACGTACATGTACATCAAACCATAAAGACAGACTTGAGACAGCATCACTGGCTATGACTCAGGCTTTTCCCTGCAGATTGTAAATGGCAGAAAACCTAGCCACAGCCCATCAGATTTGGTCGAGTAAAGAATCTGGTCACAAGTAGTCTGACAGGTGAAAAATAGTCTGGGCTGAATGTCTGGTTCCCGCCTCCCAAACTATTTACACATATAATTAGATGACAATATAAAGACCAGGTGCCTGCAGTCAACACACATTCCCTGGTATTTAAATGAACAGCCAACAACTAGTATAGTGGAGTGCAAGGTCACCTTACGGTGACAAGGTTGAAGGCTCTGTCTCATCCATGCTCAGATAAACTACATGCATGTAGCCCAACACCGGAAAGCTTTTCTGCTGTTACACTTTCCATTACATACATGTACATGTAGTTTGCTTACGACGACAAAACCAGTCACTAGTCTCATCCTATGGGTACATTTAATACATGTACTTGGATTGAAAATGTCCATGTGCACGTGCCACCTCAAGGCCAGTTCGTACTACAGATAAATGTGAGAGTGAAGTGAATTTGACGTCACAACACTGACTGTACACTTGCAGCATCATCGGAACCCAGTGGTATACCGACACAGAGTACTTGTACATGCCGTGCACAAGCATGGCACGTTACCATTCTCTCCAAAACATGCAATACACACTCAAGCATCTAGTTTGCCCACCACCAAGTTCTTTCACCGTCGCTGTTATGTTAGTGTACGCGTCTGACCAAAAAGCTGATTTCAAAGCTTCAAATACCGTTAGCTATCTGTTAATTTCATTCCATGCAAACAAAACCTGAGGCGAGAAAGTACATTTCAGGTTGAAAAGAAAACATCAGGGAAAGTACAGAGCTGGCTTCCGAGCAGAAGGAAACCATCACCAAAGAGGGAAATTACTCTGACAGAAACTGTGTATGAAGTTGTAAGTGCTCTGTGTTCATTAAAACGGAAATTATACAAAGTGTTATTAAAAAAAAAAGGGAATAAAAGTGTGGTAGAGCATGTATAAACTTGTTTATTACCAGAGCCCAATTTCAAGGCGCTGCTTACTGCGAGCGAAAAATCGGCGCTTACCGTAGCAGAAAATTCTGCGCTTACTCCGAACTACATGTATTTCACAGTTTAGCAAGGAATTTTGGCTTTTGTGCATGTGTAAATCCCGTAACTAAGGATTCTGTACTTAAAGGGTTAGCGCAACATATTTCTGCTAGTGCGGTTAGCGCAGAATGGAGATCGTAAGCACGGAATTCTGCGGTAAGCAGCGCCATGAAATTGGGCCCAGTACCAAGTCAATGTGCATGTACGTGTACATAAACGATACCAATTTCAGCTCTCTACTTCCAGTTTCAAGATTGTTTTTGTAAATTGGTTTAGCATTTTTTTGGTCACGTATTTGCAGCAAAAATTGTCCCCCAAATTATACTTTTGGTGTATGACTTAAGCAATTCTGTGGCTGACCCTTTTCGAGGATATAATGATTGGCTGATTTGTGTGATATTGGCTGTTGTGGGGAGTCATTTTGAACCTTTAAAACATGGCTGGAGATAATGTGATTTTTCTCTGTCATGTGACTTTAATAAAGGATTGGTGTCAATGTGGTCAATGGTTTCAGCCATGTTGGATTGGTTATTAACTTGATGCTTCAATTCCACTGGACAAAACGGAATTTACATGTAAGTTAAAAATAGAAAGAAAAACAAAAAAGAAGAAAAAAGGAAAACAAGTGCAGGGAATTGAAAGAACAACTTTTAAGTTGATATCAACAAAGTATAGGTTAATTCTATTTCCTACAGATTGTGTCTTTGAAACACTCTGTGAGGACGAAAAAAAAGGTAAAAGAAGCCACAAAAGATCTTGAATAAACGAAACATTCTCAAGGTCTGCAACCTGCGAGGGTGTAATAACGGAAGGTTAATATTTGTCCCTGTCAGCGATGAGACTGATGAGATTTTGAGAAATGGAGGTGGGCGGGGAGAAGCAAGATGATTTGAGTTGTCTGGAGAAAGATGTACTACCGGTTTCTTCTCTCCGGATCTCCCATTCTCTTCCAGCTGCTGGCGGACGAGAATCTCACTGATGATGTCCTAGAAAGGAGAAGAGTTGTCATGACAACGGCGCACATCAACCAACGGCATAACTAACAAACAGACGATTACATGTCGAGTGGTCATTTTGGACAACCCCCTTCGTGTTTAAGTGTTTTTAAAGCTTCAACTTTTACTTTCTAATGCATGGTTTCCAAAATTTGGGACTATTTATTTCAACCTATTTCCCATTTGACAAGTCTACTGCAGTGAAGACAATGCATGTGCAATGTACTTAACAGACCAACCACTTTCTCTTTAGGGAGAATCAAATCCCTGGCTTTTCCCAGACTGAAAAATGAGAAACTAACTTTTCAGGTTTTCCCTGATTCCCAAGATGGCCGGGAATCATCCATTTTTTTAAACCACCATCCCCCCAAAAGGAATCTGCAGTCCTTTGGTAAATTTGGGAATGGAAAACACTTTTTTCATGTTCACAGTATCAAGCTACAGAGAACAACGCAGTGGTAGTTATATTCACAGCTACAAGTTCTGGATCCGTTTTAGAGGGACTTTCTGTTCAAAATGCCACTTACTGTGACTTGGGTAAGGTGACAGAAGGAATAGCCCATATATATCTGTTAATATCAAGGTACGGCAGCAAAGTTTAGATCAGATGTTTGGTTTTAAAATACATCAGTGCATGAATACGGGCGATTCACTATAGCGCGCCTCCAAGAGTTTGCAACACATTGGCCAATCACAACGAGCAAAATCTGTCGACCCTTTCCAAATGCGCAATGGGTCGACGGATTTTGCGCGTCGTGATTGGCCAACGCGTTGCAAACTCTTGGAGGCGGGCTATTGTGAATCGCCAGTATTCAGCCAAACAGCGGTACTGCATTACCAAAACAAAGGGCAGACTCACTGTCATGCGTGTCAAAGGTTAACGCGCTGACAAGGCTTGCAAAATATGATTAATCTCAGCTGTTTGAGGCATACATCCCCTTTATGGAACAGAATCACTCACAAACAGGCGACGGTGATTAAAACCAAGATCCACAGGTGACAATCCAAAAGACATATGGATGTAGAGACGTTAAACTTGACACAAACAGCTGAGGCACAGGGTAAATCACACGGGTATCACCGAGTAAAACTGACATATCAAATTAACCCACGCTTTCAAAATGACGACCGTTATTTGGTTTTACATTTTCAAAATAGAAATCCGAAAAGGGACACACCCAGTGCACACAAAGTTATGTCAGTATTGCTATCAAAAACTAACGTGACGGGATCCCGGCAAACTGTCTCTTGAGGTCGTACTCATGCCGCTAATTAATCTGTCTCACACCATGCTTTTTGTTATGTTATGTATCATTCAGTTTGGCATCCGTAGGAAATGAGCAATGCATGTAAACTGTAGAGGGATCCCAATGACTTTTGTACATGGTGAACAATTCTCAGAAAGATCTTTCACTCGTACGAAGTTGCTCTTACAAATTATGATTTATGATCATTTTGTTGGGTCACATATTGTACATATATCTGAGCACATGTGCACTCGCCTATTCATGTTGTAAATCTCAAAGCATTTAAAGTTCCAATAATCTTCCAACAACCAATACCTTGAGCCGGATGTTAGAGTAACAGTGGCTGGGCCCTGGAGCCTGAAGCTCTCAAAAACGAAAAAAACTAAAGTGCTGGAATTTAAAGAACTTGAATGTCTTAACTCATGGCCCCTTTTAATGGTGGAAAGCAATGTGTTGGGTTTTGCATGAAGCGACTGTCATGGAGCAGTGGATCTGTACAATAGCTACTGATATCACAATGCTTACACATGTATTTACGGCCATTGGTGGGGGCCACCGGAAACAACCACTGACACGCTGCTATGGTTCATACTCCATTTGTACATGCAGCTCAAAAAATGCCACTTTTGACAGTGAAATGTGGCACCTAAGTATTCCTTGTTTGCCCTCGCCGCGGTCGTGAAGACTTTTGAACACTTCCTTCTGGACTCTCTTTGCTCAATGAGGCCCATTCTGGCATCAAGAATAGACGGCATTCTCCCCTCCCCCCTTACCTGTTTGTCTTTCAGCACAGTCATGAACCCCTCTTGGCACAGCTTGATATCCCGGACATAGTCTCTCTCTGTCTTCACCAGCTCGGTGACCACCTTCTCTCGGAAGTCGGCCACCGTCATCTTGGTTTCAGGGGCTGGGCTGGCATGGCTGGGCCGTATGTCCTGGAGTTGCTCTGGTATCAGAAAAAGCCAATACAAGTTATGCGAACAACTGAGCACACAATATGGTCTGCCTTAGGTCTTAAAGATGGCCCACCGGTACCCACCATTTCATTTCCACGCTGGGTTTGCGGTGAACCTGCTAAAAACCTACATGTAGAATACATCTAACCAATGCATTTAGACTTCATTCACAGGGAGGCCATTTCGATCATGTCCCCTGAATCTACAAGTATCTCATTCAATGTAATCTGTTCAATGGGGCCAGACTATCTAAGGTGATTTCGTGGTTACATGTGACTTAAAATATATCCTTAATCGTAAAATATTATTTACATGTACCGGTAGGCAGATTTGCATTAATTTATCCAAACTTTTATTGCATTGATTTCATTTTATTCTCAGGTTCCCAGAGATTGAAAAGTTAGCCATGCTTTCAATTCAGTGCGGCCAACTTGTGAAAAAGTCCAATAGCTGAATGGAAAAATGAAATGATTAGAGACTGACGAATAAACCTACCACCACCGTCATTTATATCAATATACCACATGCCTGAGGTAAAGTACAGTAAGATCTTCTTGGTAGCAATATTCCGGCGGTAACTGTTAGTACATGTACATGCAAACCCCTTAAAAAGCAAAGTGGATGTGAGCTTCTCTTTCCGTACATGTACTACATATCCATGCACCTGACACCTTTGATTGATTATCTTTTCGTGAACCTTGAACTCAAACAGAAAGCATCTATGCTATCTACTTGTATTTACATGTAACACTTGTGTTATCAGTATCAGTTTCAAAATTAGCAAGGATACAGAACTGGACAAAAAGAAAGTAAAGTTGTGGGTGCTCGTCTAGTGAGTTTGATTTCCGGGGACCAGACTTTTTTTATGAGGGAATGAAACATCTACACACAAAGATCTGTAGAGAGCTGCTCACTGGTGATATGTGATACATCAAGAACTTAAAAAGTTGGATGGGCCGAGATTTCAGACAATCAACTTTCTCCGAGTTTTGTTTTTTGGAGAGAGAGCTTTGGTTAATTCATTTACACCAAGTTTCTTCTTCAAGCCCCACCTGATGTTAACATTTGTGTACATTAGGTCGTAAAGAAGTTTTTGGAAAGCAGTAAATTGAATAAATACATGTACATCCTTTGTTCAGGTAAAGGTACAAGTACTACAAAAACTCAAACAACATTAAGTCCTTAAAAAAAGTACTAAGACCTACGTAGCACCATGCAAGGAAAGCTCTTTCTGAGACGTGGTTCTGGAAACAACCAGAGGGTACTCCACGTTTCCGACAGTGAGCTCTGTCTAAAGACCTGAATTGACTGAAAGTCACACAAAATGGTACTGAATTTTGAGCGTTTTAGTTTACTTATTTTAAAGACTTTGTGGGTTTTTCATTTCGGTAATCCTGACAAACAGCTTGTTGCTATTTTTTCCCCCAAACATCACTCACAAAATTCACACATTTGCTATTCAAAAATTCAATTCATCCCAGCCCATCAGCCTCTGTAAGGTTTGTTTGATGGATTGACGGAACAAAGCCACTTTAATATCCTGATGATCGAGTACAACAGACAAGACTTTTTATTTCATCCAGAAGCTAACATTTTGGAAGTTCCAAAGTGTATTGCAACCCAGTGTCCCAATTTCAGTGTGCAAATGTAAAAATGTACAAATCAAAGAAAGCTGACATAAATGACAAATCAACAACTGTGCATCAGTTTTTATAACTGCTAGGCACACCATGTACCTGTCATCGGCGATAAGGGGTCAACTTAAAAAAAAATGGGATTTTTTTTTCAGCAAGAGCTGAGTTGCCACGGCTAAAATTTCCCAACATGGTATACATTACAGCCCAACATACGGTATTATATACTCTCAGGTCTGTGGAAACCAAAAGTGGTAATGTACGGCGGTAAAGGCAAGCAAAATCAGACATTACACTTTCAAGATGTTCATTTGCTATCTCTCCAAACAGCTGCTGAATTTATGACTGGAAAATGATGTCCGTGAACTGTGGTTCAGAGAGTTCTCCAAGGGTACATGTGTGTGTCAGTGTTGTACTGGAGTCCATCAC